TTGGTGCGGGATGCATAGGGCCAATGGCGAACTTCTTGGATTTGACGTGCCGTGCCACCGTGTCGTGCCACCGTGCCTGGCTAGATCTTTATCGAGAGCATTGAAGACAAACAAGCTTATCAAAGGTTCCCCTGAGAAAAATGCGCCTGGGATGAAGCTAGGTGGCGATGGCAGGATGTTCCTTGCATGGGGATGGGATTAACGGCCGGGACTAGGTAGTAGGGAGCAGATATTCCGCTTATCAAGCAGTGAATAAGGACCATGACTCTTCGTCTACCAATTTTGTCAAATTCTACGTGGAGAAAGCTCAATAAAACGTTGTGAGAGAGACGATGGTGGTGGGAAAGGAGGACACTGTGGCTAGCCATCACAAGCATCGCCACCGGGCCACCAACACCACATAAGACGGTAGACGATATAAGACGGCACGATATCGTAACTATGAAGCGGAGCGCTTGCGCCATTTCTAGTGTACTTGCGAATAAGACTGGGATTCAATGTATGGAATTGTGTACATGATGATTTGGATCAAGGAATACAAAGCATTGTGGCAACTACACAGCGGCTCGCCAGCGACGTTTCCCTCGGCACTGAGACTTACCTATCGGAGGCGGCTAACGGGTGTGGCGCGGCGGTGGTGCGGTGCCCCGGTTCCACTCCGGGAGCGACCCTTTGCCGCCGGGACATGATCGGTTCGGGCCCGGTTTCCTTTCGCCTCTTATCAGGTACCTTACCTTAAGTGGCGGTCTACCTGAGGTATTCTTCTTTTTATTTCTTTTCCTTTTCTGCGGAAGAATTACTGTTTCGGTACGTGCTCCGAAAAGTCCACTCGAATAGACGGGAACAGGACTCAACGGAAGAAAACAAGGAGGAGCAAGTGTCATGACTCTTCAACACGTGTCTGTCTACATGACTCCTCTCTTTGCCAACTCATTGGGTCACCCGCAATCACTTTCTAGGGATGAAGAGTGGACTGCGGTTCCGAATATATTGATCTGCCCGTGCCCGGCTGTTCGGATGGCGACAGCTTGTTTCTTCGGGATGGTCGTCGGGTCCCCTGCTTTCTAGAATCCCTGGGATGTGGAGGGCCTCCGAGGGGGGCCTAGTACCCTTGACTCTGGGGCTCTGGACCTTTTTTTTTTTTTTTTTTTTTTGCCTCAGCAATTATCCACTGTTCGGTACTCCGACGTTGATTACATTGCTTGCATGCGAATTACGTCTGCTACAACGGCACAAGCTTCACGAGCTTGTCCCTTGCGACTGCGAGCCCTGTGAATATGAAAAGGAATGCGACGTTTGCGTGTGAGGCAGTGTCGGGCGTTGGGCAGATGGGGGATGTGAACGGGGTGATGGATATCCACCTGTTGGAGATGGCAAAAGATCTGTTTCCCACTTCCACCCCGCCCACCGTGCCATCTTTCTGCATGGCCGCTTTGCCGCGGGCGCACGGCACAAGGGAGTGGAAACGGGCAAGGGGTCGATCTTCAACGAAGCGCGTGTTTCGTCCCAACTTGCAGTAAGATCGCAGATGTGTTCCCCCGAAAAAGAAAAAGCGTATGAAAGGACTACATATACTAAGAGGGTTTCGAGGGGGGGTTCATGAGGAGAAAAACGGCTATCGGCAAAAGCAGTGAGTAGTATCCGCAGTGAAGCACCGCATGTGTGCGTACTATATGCGAGTAAGTGTGTTTGAGAAGCAACTCTCTTTCTCTCTCTCTCTCTCTCTCTCTCTCTCTCTCTCTCTCTCTCTCTCTCTCTCTCTTTTGCGCTTTTCCCAATGTGCTCCGCGATGCGATGCAAGTGAGTCTCGTCAGCGGCTAATATGAACCCCGGCCTCTCATGAAAACAGGCGTCGAGGGATTTCTACTAAAGACAGTTGAGACTTTAGAGAAGGAAAGAGCCTAGATACTATTAAAAGACAACGAAGGACAAGACAGATTCAATGGGGTTAAAAATGTCTCATACCAAAGATCTCGGCGCCGCCGCGCGTGCCCTGTTGTCCGAGGCGGCTAGAGGCTCGAACATTCCTGAGTGAGGCTGATGGCGAGGGGGGGCTTGGGGCTTGGAAGGGAACTCATTGAAGTGAGATTTGTATGACTACGGTTTGCGCGAAACTCATAAAAGTTGAGTCGAGTCCGAGGCTGAGTCTCATAGATTGAATTAGGTCCGTGTGACGAGAGGAAACTCAAGTGCTGTTTGGTTTGAGTGGTGGTTCTGGGGAAAAAATGCTTGTGCGCAATGTTACGTGAGTGCGTGGCCGAGTGAGTGAGTAGTGAGTGAGTGTGTGAAGTGTGAGAGTGTGTGTGATGTATCATGATGTGTGAGTGCGGTTGGGCAAATGTTTCAATTCAGCCTGTCCACGGTCTTGTCTGCCGGCCTGTCCATCCCCCTCGTGCCCCTCCATCCAGCTCCCTCTTGTCTTTTGGATATGCCAATGTTTTCTGCAAATGTTTCAACCTTCCAAGCCCCTCGAGGGAACGTCGAACCCCACCAACCCACGAGCGACAGAACCGATGCAGGGGCCGACGAGGTCAGGTCTCTAGCGCCCTCTCCTTTTCTGTCAGGGGGGAAAGGTTGCGTTAGTCTGAGGGAGTGACAGACAAGATGCGGGCGACTGTCAGTCAGTCGGCGACTCAGCGCAGCAAACTACTTTGAGCCTTGACTGCCGTCGCCTCTCTCTGCAGCAGCGTTCATCTGGTACCTTATCTTTGCCCCAATCTGGAAAACAAAAATACATGGATGAGGGCTAGAGCACCCACAGAAGCAGGGGGAGCACGGTGATGGTACCACGGTACCAAAGTCTTCAGAGCCACTGAGGAAGGAAAGACTGGGGGAGAGAGCAGCCGCCGCAAAGGCGAGTGGGTGCCGCGTGCTCCAGATTGACGGGCCCCGCCGGCGCGGGAGCAAGACGATTGGACGTCCGTCCGCCCGCCCCTGGCATTGGGGGGGGGCCCGAGTTTCAGAGACCGACCAACACCACACCTTTACAACCGCCCACCAAGGGCCACCAACAACGCCGACTCCACGTCTAAAATCTTTGACGTCCAACCCGACCTTCAAACGTCTTTCCATTTGCGGTCCTATCTGTCTTTCGTCCTCCCTTGCTCTCGCCCGTTCGTTGGCTAGCCTTTCCCCTGGGTAACTTCTTCATCCCCCTAAGGTGTTTCCTTTTGACTCTCCCGTCCCATCTTGGAACCATGCAAACCCCCTATCCTCGTGCTATAGGGTACGTGGGTGAGGCAAGGTACCCATTGACGATCACCCTCTTTTTGCCTTTTGCCCGTTGAACTACATGATGCCCCCCCCCCCAATCCCCAGTTTCTTCTCTCAAAAAGCACGCACAAACCCACCCTGCTTGCGCTGACTGGCACGTTCGACTTGGATCTCGCCTCGGCAGAGCAGTCGACTCGCATGCTGCATGTACAACACCCATCACACATATAGCTTCTTCGGCACGGCGAAGAACGAGACGGGCTGAACCCCCCTTCCTATCATCCCGTCTTCGCTCTGGATCTTCCTCGGGGATTCCCCTGGTAATTCTGTCAAGCCTTGGCGGGTAAACATATTGAAACAAGGACCTGTCGTTCGTCGAAAAGTGAACCCTCGAGCACACACTCGGCGCAACGCAACCACATACATGGAGACGTGGGGCAAGGACCCCCGGGAGTTGGGCCGAGATGGCATATAGGCCGCAGAAAAGAAGATGGGAGACTAAAAAAAAAGTCTCACCATGGTTCCCAAAACCCCCCATGCCCTTTGTGCGGCGTGTACGCGGCCTGGCCTTGGGTACCTAGAACTCGGTAGAACAGACGAGAGAGAGAGAGAGAGATCAGATAGGTCACCTTTCATGATCCCCAAATGTTGTCCGGTGGCCGGGGTGCTTGCTCACCTTGGTCACTCCCCACACCACCAGTCTACAACACAGGAAACCTCGAGCCGTATTTAGCTGGCTGCATTCCCCAATGTGGTTGAGGCTCATGAGTCCGTGATGTGTCGTGCTTAAACACTCAAGGCCTCTGTTCAGCCTCCTTCAGACGTTTTTTCTTCGTCTTCTCTTCTCTTTTTACAGCCCCCTCGTGGCACTCATTCTCTTCTTTCTCATTCTCTCGTGTCAGCCACCCAGGAGGCAGGCAACAGCCGTTTCAATCCTTTTCCGGCTGAAGTTATCGTCATCACCAGAGGTTTCACTCCTTCTTACAACCATCTGACCCTTTTTTGTCCCATTCACCTTGCCTCATCTGGTCACCTTTTGCCAAGCGCAACAACAAATCCACAGTCTCACTCCAAGTCAGTCAGATCTATTGAGTAAAAATCAGGGTCCAGAGCGAGCAAACCAACCACGCTGTGCGTCATTGTCCACCTCATCATCATCGAGTCGACACGAGTCTCTTGGAGTTTTTTTGCCCACCCTTTGAAGCTGAGGCCGCCGAGATCCTCTCCTCAACACCCCACTACCAAGAGCTCCCAGCCGCATCGTGTGCGTCTCTCTGCCTTTGGGTTCCCACTCCTTCGGACTATTGGAAAGGAAAAAACGGTTCAGATTCCTCAGAGGCCTTGACCAGACCCAATACCGACCCCTCTTTTCTCCCTTCCTTGAGGCCTTGCCCAGACTTGGACGACGCAACACACCACACACACGAGCAACTTCTCTCTTACCAACCACCTACAGTGACCGGCTCACTCCAGAACATACGACGACATTCATTTTCATCATACTTCTCTTCATTCATCTCTATTGATGACCCTTTGACTCTCCCTGATCCCTTTTTTGATTCATATTCTTCAGACATCTTATCCTCCTTTCGTGGCTTCACTCGAGTCTCTTGAGAACCCCTCATCCCAGCACTCGATTACCCTGCCCGGCAGAGCCAAATCGAAAGGATAGAAGTCAAAAAACCCCGAAAAGGAACATTTCTCAAAAGAGTCTCAAACCCCTCTTTCTTCCCTCTCATCAGACAAGAAGGATCTCGATCTTCAGAGAAGTTCCGCCTTCCTCAGCCATGCCTTCTCAGAGCATCAAGACGGTACTGGTGGGCGCCGCCGCCCTCCTCCTCTTCTGCCACACCGGGCCGGCCCAGGCACAGCAGAAGTACGTCCTCCACGACAACTACGACAGCTCAAACTTCTTCAACGAGTTCAGCTTTTTCGACCAGCCGGACCCCACCAAGGGCTCGCAGATCTACACGAGCGCCGTGACGGCCAACAACAGCGGCCTCGCGGGCTACGCCCGGGGCGGCATCTACCTTGGCGTCGACTCCAAGACTAAGGGCCAGGGACGCCAGTCGGTGAGAGTCACGTCGAATAAGGCCTTTGACACGGGCTTGTTCGTCGCTGACATTCAGCACATGCCTACTAGCAGTTGCGGTGTCTGGCCTGCCTTTTGGATGTTTGGTCCCAACTGGTAAGTTTCCTCCTACGAGTACTCAGTGAGAGGTTGTGATGAGAGACGGAAGTGACTTACTGACACCAACTCACAGGCCCAACTCGGGTGAGATTGACATCATCGAGGGAGTCAACACGCAAGAGTCCAACTCCGTGACCCTCCACGCGGGACCCGGCTGCAGCATCACCAACGACGGCACAATCTCCTCCACAACCCTCAACGACAAGGACTGCAACTCCGGCAGCGCCTCGACGGGCTGCGGCCAATCGACCTCGAGCAACCAAAACTACGGCGACGGCTTCAACGCAATCGGCGGCGGCGTCTACGCCGTCGACTTCAACTCCCAGGCCATCTCCGTCTGGTTCTTCCCGCGCAGCGCCATCCCCGGCGACGTCACCTCGGGCAACCCGGTCCCTTCGTCCTGGGGCCAGCCCCTCGCCAAGTTCAACGGCGGCTCCGGCTGCGACATCTCCTCGCACTTTAAGCAGCAGAACCTCGTCTTCAACACGGCGCTGTGCGGCGACTGGGCCGGCAAAGTGTGGGAGCAGAACGCCGAGTGCACGGCGCTCGCGCCCCAGTGCTCCGACTACGTCGCGGCCAACCCGCAGGCCTTTACCGAGGCGTTTTGGCTCATCAACTCGGTCAAGGTCTACCAGGCTGACGGCGGCGCGGCGGCTGCCGCTTCGGTTGCTCCCAGTGTGCCTGCTGGTATTCCGACGGCGCGGCCTTCGGCCCCGATCCCTGGCGTCTCAGCCATTCCTGGAGCACCTGGTTACTAAGCTGAGCTACTTTTCGAGAGCAACGAGATGCGAGGTACAGAAGGGCAGGGTAGGACTCATTTGACTCATTTGGAGTAAACGTTATACAGGTCTAGACTTGGGTGGTGGACGCAAGTACAAAGGCGTTGGAGGCTGGTTTCTTGTCATGGTCCTTTTCTTTTGACGACATTTACGATCCCTTTTTTCACTTCTTCATCATCTACTGGATAGATGACACTTTTGAAACCTTTTATTCTTCTTCGAGGCTTGAAGGGAAGACATGGCGTTATAGGGAGGAGGTCGGCTCCTAGGAACACGTATACCTAGCTTTCGTTTTTATCTTACACGTGGGTATCGGTAGCAGATACCCCCGAATCGGACTTCTTAAACTGTTGAACTCTGTCTCCGTCTTTCTGGAACATGACAGCTGCCCTGGTCGTCGATTGAGTTCTGCATTGAACGGGAAAAACAGCGCTTGTTCGCCAAGAAGCGCTCTCTACCCATGATGTAGTTGAACCCCAGGCTCGAGAACCGGAACGCAAGGGTCGAGTCATGTCTGGAAACGATTCAAATTGGCAAGTGAAGCAAAGAATAAGAAAAAAGGATTTTCACAGTCGTCGATCCAAACGCGGTCGTTAGAGATCTGGCGGCCATTGGAAAGGGGGTTTCGACTCAGTCACCCGCATACAGTGCCGCCTGCCATCCGGAACAAGATTCACTTGACGTCCCGAGATGAGATGTCGTCTAACTTTATTAAGGGTGGATGACCAACAAGAGGCGGCCGTTCCTGTCGTTGTCTCCAGGGAACAAGGCTTTCGGCAGGTGGTGCCGAAATTATTAGATTCCATCGGGAGGGTCAACGTCCGATCTCCTGGGCGGGGGTTGCATGAAGGTGGCAGAGCCCAGTAGAGCCAAGACTCGAAACACGCTCATAGAATTCCGTCTGTATGGGTGACTGTGACCTCTGCAACCTCTTCACAAGGTTACTACAGCCGAGGAAAGGGGTATGAAGGAAGGTGTCAGGTGGCACGGAGATCTCGAGGCTTTAGTCGGACACAACTCGAACTGGAGACTGCTCATCATGTGCCTCTTAGCGAGCATCCCATGTGTTGCCTCTTTCGCGGATCTGGTCATCCGAAGAAAGTAATATGGGCCAGGAGTTAAGACTAATGGCGAAGCAAAGAGGCTCATGGGGCGCCAATTGGCCAAGACGGGAACGACTCCGGGATCGCTTCTGGGCAGAAAGTTGACGGGGGAAGTTTTAAGATGTTAAAGAAGTGGGGAAATAGAAACCCAAGAGAGTGATGTAAAAATGGCGCTAGTGATATATCCCACCGTTCCCACGCGCCAACCGGTGGCAGCCGCCCCACATCTTCCAGACGGGCAGGTAGCGATGACCCGATCGGGTTTAGCTGCCATGGGTATGAGGCAGATCCACCATGATCTTCGACAGACTTCAAACTCGCAACAGCCACAAGCCAAAACTCCCAACACACACACACACACGAAGACTGAACAGTGAAGAGCCTGTTCGGGAGCAGGCGGTTCGAACTGGCACAACCTGCGCAGGATGCCAGGGGGTAGCGCGGCGTATGATTGGATCGTGGCTCGCCGAGAGAACAATCGACGCTGCTCGTCGATCCGCTACTTGGCAAAGAAGCTTGTCTCCTCGATGGAGTCCATCAGGGGTCGAACCTGGCTTTGGCTGGTCTTGTTGATGCAACCGTCCAACCCTTATGTTGCAGCCAGGCTCGGATGAGACGCCATTGAGCCATCGCGGCCTGTGATACTGGTTCGGACGACTCAGGAGCAGGGCATCTACGGGGTTGTTTTGTGACGGATGTGAGATGAGGTGCCCTGTCAGACAGACGAAAAGAGTCGCCCGTCGAGCCACGAAGAGGTCAGAGGGAGGCCGCGGGGCCCACGGGCATAACCTTGTGTGCGGTTAGGATAGGAGGAGACGAACATGAATAGACTATGGTACTATATGAGGTTTTGGTATAAGATCCTCCCGCTGCCCCGACCATCTACTGCCTCTTTCTTTTGCTCCTCTCATTATCAACCATACATCAAACTCAATAATCAACCTTTCTCTCATTCATCACAGCAGCGCTGTTCCATTCACTCTTTGCCGGACAATATCTTTCATTTTATCAAACTACCCACGCCTTTCGACAACCTTCGAACAACATGTACTTCTCCAAGATCGCCGTTCTCTTCACCCTGGCCGCCACCGGTCTCTCCGCCCCCATCGAGGGAGCCGAAAGACGCCAGGCCAAGCTTCTTTCCGTTCAGGACTACTCCCAGTTCCAAGTTTCTGACGGCACTGCCGGCAACGCCCTTGCTGAGGTTGCCCAGAAGTTCCCCGTAAGTTACCATCACACATTTCCACTCGCAAGATGACGACGCTAACAGCCCTTCAGGTTGACCAGATCAAGGCCAACCTCGCTGGAGTCAGCAAGGATGACTTGGCCATCCTCCAAGCTGCCCGCGTCGCCGCCGAGGGTGCCGAGACCGACGCCGGCGGCTTCAACGACGCCATTGCCAAGGCGTCCGGAACCGACGCCGATGCCCTGAAGGTTGGCAAGATCAAGAACAAGGTCCTCAAGCTCCAGCTCGAGGTTCTCGCCCTGCAGGTGCAGCAAGCGCAGGGCGCCAGCAACCAGGCCAATATCGACGCCGAGCAGAAGAAGCTCGACAACAACGTCAAGACCGACACGGCCTCCAAGGGCAAGACCAGCCAGAGCGTCTCGTTCAGCGCCACCTCCGCGCCCAAGGGCAAGAAGAACTAGAGTCGTGACTACTTGCTATGACAGGCATGGTCGGTGTTGAAGAAACTCGAGAGTCGTTTGGCGTTATCCTCGTCTTGGTCATGGTTGGGGTTGGAGGACATGGGACACGAAACATTGGCGATGGGAGTTTGCGCGCTGGGGAGCCAAATTTCTGATTTAATTCGTTGACTAAATAATTCAGATGATGTTGAGAGAAGTGAAAATGAGAAACAATTATTGAGTTGGGTGAATTACAAAGCTATTCCTTCTTTGACGTCCGCTGGCGAAGTCGCACTGTTTTTTCCTGCAGGGCAAGAGCGCCCGAGACTGTGTCCGACGTTCCTCTGCACTGTACACAGGCTTCAGTGCGTCCCTAAACTTACCTCGCCTCACTCACCATCTCTCTCACCTTCCCTCTTACACTGAAACATCAGCAACCATCCAATCTCATCAACCTGTCACTTGCAAAATCCAAATTGCTATCTATACTCATTCCGGAGCAAGACTCACGCGGCCTTTATCGAATGATTAGCATTACTTCGCTTCTCAGTCAACCGGGACGCACTACGGTGGCGCGTCACTTCACCTGATGGCGTCACCATCGAGCTTCATTCCTTTGGGAACCCTGGCCATCACCAGAGAAAATACAGAGCTCACAGTTGACGAGTGGAAGCTGTTGGAGAAGAGATTCGGAAGATGGGGCATCATTGCGCCGACGAAACCTGCCAAAGGCGTCAGGGCCCCCAAGCCGTTCGACGACACAGAAGACCTCTTCCTTTTGTCTGCGGCTTTCAAGAACTACAAGAACCTAGTGGCTGAGAAATGGATTCGAGTTCACCTGCTCATTCGCTCGGAGGATGGAGAACGCGGAACCGCAAGGATTCATGCCTTGGCTGACGACGTCGACAATAAGGCCATCGACCGAGATCGCGCTAAGCTCAGAAGATCACGCAGAGCTCTCATTTCCCAACTCGACTTCTCTCGAGACGCCTGGTCCGGCCATCCCACTTCGACCCCGACCACACTTGACCATGTCTTCAGAGACGAAGAAGACGCTGATGATTCGACCTCGTTGCTCCAGATGTTCAATACCATCCCTTCCCCGAACCCGGCGCCCCATGCTCTCACCAACCCATTTGAACAAGATGCCATCTACAACGTACTCGAAGGCAACCTCCCTGGCCTGAATGATACTTCGAAGCTTTATGACTACCAGCGCCGTTCAGCTGCGGTCATGATTCAGCGTGAAAGTGAGCCCGGTCAATTTCTTGACCCAAGACTTACCAAAGCAACCGACCAGAATGGTGCGGCCTACTACTACGATACTAGCTCCAGCGTGCTCGTCAAGGAACCAAGATTCTACGATGGTGTCAGAGGCGGCATCTTGGCCGAGCAGATGGGCTCTGGCAAGACCCTGATCTGTCTGGCTGTCATCTTGGCTACTCGACATTTATCTACCCGCACCCCCGATATCTACCAAGGAAGCGACGTGCGCGTGAGGCAGAAGATTGGGTCACTCGCTGATATGGCCGCCTCGAATGCCAACATCAAGGGAGCTCCTTGGAAGGTCTTTTTCAACGTCTACAATGCGAGCCAAGAGCTGGAGTACCACAAGTGCATAGAAGCGATCCGCCGCAACCCCAGCCGCTACCACGTCCCCGAGATGGCTCCCAAGCGCCTTCGGCGGCATGAAACCGCGGTTGGTAACCCGGCAAAGAAAGTCCGACATACTCATGCATCCATCGTGATTGTCCCCAACAACCTGGTTCAACAATGGATTCAGGAGATTGAAAAGCACATCGTCCACCCAGGAAACCCGGCGGGTCTCAAGGTTCTCAAGTTGACTAGTCAGAAGGAGGAAATTCCCAACTCTCAAGTCCTTGCAGCATATGACCTCGTTCTCATCACACAGTCGCGGCTTGACAGAGTGTGGAGGGAAACTATGATGATGGGATGCCCGCTGGCAGAAGTCCACTTCAAGCGTTGCATCGTCGATGAAGGTCACAAGATAGGTTACGCCAAGATAAACAACAAGAGCAATGTCCTCCTAGCCATCGACGCACTCAACGTTTCTGCTCGCTGGATCGTGACCGGTACGCCAGCCACTGGATTATTCGGTGTAGACGACCAACACTTCAACGGTACCCATCCCGGTGACCAGGATAATGTCGACAAGGCGGCAGCCCTCGCCGAGGCGGAAAAGGGAGACCTGGAGAAGATCGGAGCGATAGCATCGCTGTATCTCAATGCTCGACCTTGGTCCAATAGCGTCCACGAAACAGGAGATACGACCGCGGATTGGGCAGTGTATGTGATGCAGCCGAAGCATAGCGCCCGGTCAACCGGCCGCATGGGCGTGCTGCGCGCTACATTAAACTCTCTCATCGTCAGGCATCGATTATCGGAGCTCAACACCCTGCTTCCATCAGTCAACGAGAATGTTGTTGTATTGGATGGCTCCTACCAAGACAAGTTGTCGCTCAATATCTTCTCGATGATGATCATCTTCAACGCAGTCCAGTCTCAGAGAGTCGACATGGATTACTTCTTCCACGCGCGTCAACGCAAGGCTCTGCTTCAGTTGGTTCACAATTTGAAGCAATCCAGTTTCTTTGGTGGCGCCTTCTTCGCTAAGGACGATATACTGAAGGCACTCGAAACTGCAGAGACTTTCCTGCAAGAGAAGAAGGTACTAATCAGTGAGAAAGACGAAGCTCTTCTGAAACAGGCCGTTGAAGTGGCCCAAGTTGCCATTGACAGCCAACTGAAAGACTTTAGCAACAAGTACAACGAGGTTCCCATCTTCATCCGCGACTTCCTCCCCAATGGCGTCGGCTCTGCCTGGTCCCTCGACGACCGCGACGCCAACCCCACCTGTACCGATGCTGGTATGGTACTTACCGCGCAGAAGCTGATCGCCTCTGCCATGGGTAAGCCTACGAAGCTGAATAGTCTTCTCAACGGTCAGCTGGAGTTTGAGGGTCGCAAAGAGCAAGCCGACCAGATCATGTCCGGGGCACAGGGCGTCGCGACTGACCAGCGGCCGTCAAAGTCTCGAGGGGTTCTCGCTGGCAATACGAAACTGGGAGGTGAACGGGTTCCTCGACATCTCAAGTCGACCGCCTCGAAGCCAGGTGATCCCGTACCCGAGCTGGAGCAACTTCCAGACGATCTGAAGGAGGCGATGCTGGTTTCCACCGTATCAGCAAAGCTCTCATACCTCATCGACGCTGTGGTGGAGCACCAAGACAGGGAGAAGATGATCATCTTCTACGAGAACGAGAATGTGGCGTGGTATCTGGCTGGTCTTCTTGAAGTGGTAAGTTCGACCGTTTCGATGAAATGTGATTGACCACTAACACTGTTGTGTAGATTCACGTTCGCCACCTCATTTACGCCAGCAAGCTCACCTACGCCCGGAAGATGGAGTATGTCGACACTTTCAACCACGACCCCAAGACAAGGTGAGTATTTTAGGAACTCTCGTATCTCATGGATGCTAAGAACTGTCTAGGGTCATTCTCATGGACTTGTCACAGGCCGCCGTTGGTCTCGATATGAGGGCTGCCTCGCGAATCTACTTCATCAACCCCGTTCTGAACCCCCAAATCCAAGCGCAGGCTATCGGCAGAGCCCGGCGCATCAGCCAGCAGAAACCCGTAACGGTCGAGACCCTCGTCCTGCGGGACAGCATCGAAGAAGTCATCATGGAGCGCAAGAAGACCATGTCGCAGTTCGAGCACTGGAAGTGCAAGTCCATCCTGGACGACCAGCCCATTTACAACTGGATTCTGAACGCCGGCATTATATCTCTTCCCAAAGACCAGAAGGATCACTTGGCGCAGGCCATTCCGCTGAAGCACCCTCGGCCAATCTTTGGCAGCAAGTTTGCTGGCGCTCAGTCTTCGGAAAAGAATACTCTGGCGAATGGCACAGAGACGAAGGCGACGGCGGGCAAGGATGAGCTGGTAAACGGCACACATTTGAATGACCTGAAGCGCTCACGCAGCCCCGAGTCTCAAGGCAATGGAGACTTGAGAGAGGAACCCGCCAGACCTGCCCGCCGCCTGCGCTTCTCTACAGAGGACGAGGGTGTGAACGATGAGCGGCCCGCGCCCCGGGTGCGATTTTCATAGGACTTTTCTGGACTCCAGGGTGGACTTGGCATGACGAACGGCGGTTGAATATGGGTCTGAACCTCGTGCGGTAGATCTGGGTGGCTGCTGTCTGCACGGGGGAGGTTTGTTGGATTACGTTTGTATAGCGCTCTAGAGATACCAACTAAGCTGCACATGGATGCAGCAGGAATAAGAATCGTTTCTCCTACTACTACTTGACGATTCACTAACGATGCGCAAATCATTCTCTTATTGGTGACAGTTAAAGTCATTCCATTTCGGTTCGCAAAAATACGAGATCAAGACCTAATGGAATAGTGACCGCTCCCATTTCGCAAGCATCACCACAACCATTATTGCTAAGAGATGACAGTTTCTATACTGCATACGCCATACTTGGTCTATTGATACGGTGGTATTGTACACTGACATCATGCATAATTCCTGTGCTGGTTCCATTGAGCATCGTCCTGTGCCCGGGCAATCAGTAGTGAGGCAGAATCGTCGACACTTATGCAATACTTCATCCTTTCCTATCATGATCTTTTTGAACCCATTGATCAAAACAGTATTCGTAACAGTAATAGTTTGAAAGGTCATTCCACATCGGCTCAAGAAGATCCGAAATCAAAACGTAGTGCAGTAACCGCTGTTGCTGGAGAGACGCGAGGTCTTTGCGACAACATCGCCACGCACTGATTCTTGTTTTCTAGAACAAGAGCACGTTGTCCCCGGTGTGATTGCCAAGCGAGCTTCTTCAGTCCGAGAGGCGGCGGCCCCTCCGAAAGGACTAATCATAGTCATGGTGCAGATAGGCGCCGAAGTCCGAGGCCGGGCCGGGACGGGGACCAACGGGAGAATGCATTAGCCATTGTTGTCTCTCGAGTCTCTGTTCCCCTTGGACGGGACGCTTCGTCCAAAATCCACGCCGGCTGTTTTATGTCTGTACTACCTCCCAACCCAAGATGACAGCGGAACCCGGTCCACGGCAAGACGAGGTGGCGCGGCCGGGTCGACCGAGGAACTGGGAAAGCCGGAACGGGGCCAAGCGAGGAGAACCTCGTGGGTTTGGACAAGGGGTCGGACGTTTTCCTGTGGTGCACGGAGGATGGGAACAGACGAGTGAACAGACTCTCGAGGCATGGCTAAGTCACGGGTGAGGGACGTGTGTAAAATGAGGTTCAACGACAAACGTATGATGAAAACAAAACCAGGACCGGCGCAAAGAGGTTGCATCGCTTGAGGTTTCTTTTCGCCCAGGCGGCAGTGGGATGCCGTATATTGGTTATTCACATGTCATGTCCGTCTTGTTTTCTTGGAAAACAAGACCGGTATCTCCGTGGCACGGAGCTGGCGGATACGTAAGCGCGACAAAGGAACCGTCCTCCGTAGGGCGAATGACAATGGGCACGAAACGATGATGCAATGCGGAGGTCTCGGCAAGAAGGGTTTGATGGAGATCGTGGACCCATTTTGTAAGGTGCGATCCACGGATGGGGGATGATACCTGCACCTGCACTTTTGGATGACAGAGACACTGGGGAAGGAACGGCCCAGACAAACCCCATGTTCGAAACGATTCTGTCTCTGCCCGTCGAGAACGGAAAGAAGAAACGAAGGAAAGAAGGAAGAAAGCATGGCATGAAATGACGCCTTCCAAGTTCCGTAAAACTGTCAACCTTCACCCGGGCAGCATGGTAACCGATGGCAAGAACGGCGACCAAGGCAAGGCAAGGCAAGCAAGGCTAGGGCTGAGAAAGAAACAGAGGGAGGCGTTTCTCTGCCCATCCTGTCCGCTTCAGTTGAACCAACGATGCACATCTACCAAGACAGCCTCGAACTTGCATCATTCTCGACAAGCCGCCGCGCAATCGTGGAGACCTCTGGAGTCCGCACAGCTTGACGCAGGCGATTTGACTCGTTTCACGATATCCACCTCCCTACAATGGCTATTGTCGATAACGAACCAACGATGAATGGCCCCTTCACCTCCTTCGCCCCCTGTTTCCTCCCCAAATTCCAGAGGTTGGGCGGTTCGTCTGAGGTTAGCCGCTAAAAGCCCTGGCTAAGACAGAAAGCAGCAGGGACGCCCGTTGAAACCGATTCTCACCACGGCAACGAGCTTGCCCCGAACGAGTTACCTTGCTCCGATCTCTCGGGACCATCCATTCTCGCGTTCTTTTGCATCGTTCTACAGCCTTTGCGAGTACAGTGAGATGCCCACGAGGCTCAAGGAATGCAATAGAACGTTATATGGATGCAGGTGTCCATGAACAGCGGGAGCACTATCGTCACTGTATCCACGGTTTACACGATTTATTGAAGCGGGAGGCGACGATCAATACCTACGTGACCCAATTGTGAAGCAAGCCGGTCGTCGCAGGCCACACGACACCGCGGGAATGCAGATGCGGAAGCGGCAACGGGATGCGCGTAAGACGTCCAGCCCAGATTGACGAGGCGACTTTGATGCGACCTCAGCACGCGCTACGGTGCCCGGGGGTTCACAGTGTCACAGGGTTCCAAGCAAAAGCTGGAGCCTGGCAGAGCTGGATACTGGGAAAATGGAACCAAACCCCTTGACTCTTGGGCGTTCGGCGTGTCGGCTTTGGAGATGGGATTTCCAGGATAAGTGAGTTTTGTCCCACTTCAACTTCCTGGTTTTCTGTTCCTGTTCCTGGATCAGTGCTGCGGCCAAGGCACATAATGGCCGTTGTCTGTCTGAACGGCTGCAGCTTGCAGGTTCCAGCCCCGTCTGTGCCAACGAAACCTTGCGTGGCTAGGAGAGTCCCGTCATGGTTAGCTGCATCAAACACCCCCTCATCAACTTTCCTCCACGCTGCAGGGCGAAACAGGACTGCTAGTTGGCCACAGCCCAGCCTCCCGCCGACACGCCACTGACCGAACTGATGTGATGGTCCGGACGAAACGAGGTCAGAATGATGAGACGAGATGGTTCAGAGGGAGGAGGATGATGAGCTACGCACACAGGATCTATTTGCCCGAGGTGGACGCCAGGCTCGTTCACCCTGCCTCGGTGGCCTGTCCCTGTCTTCCTCCCTCCGAGTCGACGAGCTGTCAGCCAGTGTGTTTTGGGCTGTGAGATGTGCGCATCTCTGAATGGTCTGGCTGTGCAGCATCAGCATTGCACATGATGATACGGATATTACTGGATGTCGGCACGGTTCGTCGCAACCCCGCGAAACAGAGCCAGGGCAGGATGCCATATGCCATGGCTTCCTCCGGCCCGCTCATTCGTCGCCTTCGGGAGTCGTCGTGGCCGGTCTCCCGCTCCGCCACTCAGGGAATGGCCTGGAGCTTGAGTGAGAGCTCCAGAACATCACCAACCCTGTCGGGCTGTTAACCTTGTTTTTCCCAGACTGCGGGTACAAGTGTTCCTCGCCAGAAATGTGGGTGCTTCCATTGTATCGAGTCGAGTGCCTGGCACCTGCGAGTCGCTGCGACCCATCGTCGATTGCCTGGAGCTTGAGGCGCGAGACAAGCTAGACGAGGGGGATAGAGGGGCTAGATTAATCATTACCCACATTCCAATCATTCATGCGACTAAGGCACCTCCCAGCCGCTACAGTGCAGAATGTTGCCGCCATATTGCGTTGCTTTGCGCAGCTCTAGTAAAGGTTTTGGGAGTGGAACGGCCGGGAGTGCGTGAGCGCCGAGCAGGGCTCTGACTTTCTTGTCTTGGAACCATGAGGTCCAGATCCCAGGCCGCAGACCGCGATTTGATGGGATATTTCGAGCGTGGGATGGGGTTCTTGAGTTCAAATATGATGCACCCATATGCATGAAGGCTGCAATCTGGAAGGCCCTCGCCCTCTTACTTCCCTCGCCTTCTCATCTTTCCCCTTTCCACCCTCGTTTTGTTGGCATTGACGGGTTATTATAGTTGTTGGCTCTTATTGTTCGGTCTCTACTCCCCTCGTCTCCCTCCTCTTTCCGTCTCACCCATCATCGCCAAGTTCGCAACAGCATCCTGCTCTTGGTGATGCTCTCAGGTTGGCTGAAGCGGGTCGGCTACTGAATTGCAAACCCACCCTCGCAACAACGGCAACTGGCCAAGCTATCCCCACGTCCGGTATATTAAAATTACGGCACAACGACCTCATGAAGGCCCAGGTTGCAACCCCCTTTTGTCCGTTTAAATAAAAAGGGTCGCCTCTTCGTTCAGCCCAGCTTTGGCGGTAAGACTGCAGCTGAGAGAAAGAGAGCGCAAAGAGTCGGTCAGGGCAGCAGCAGCAACACGACGGATCTCACCGAGGTTTGGACGGCACGTGGACGGTTTCAAAGCAGACGAACGAGAAGACGAAGCAGGAGAAGAATAAGATCAGCCGACAAGATATATCAACAAGCGACGGGCCACCAAACTCGGATCATGAGCGGCACAATGATCAGCGGACGTCAGTACTACGAGATACCGCCTGCGGGCCAAGCGATCACGACTTCCTACAAAGGCAACCGACGGTTCGATCCCGATTACGGACTCAACTACGGGCACCACAGCTACGCTATCGAACAGAAAGACTACCGAACGGCCCGGGCAGTCTCTGGCGGTAGCCTTGGGCCAGCGGGTGCAAGGCAATCGCTGTCGGCGCTGGACGACAAACGTGCCAACGAAATTCGACATGGCGTCTACGCACATGTTTTCCTCGATGTCAAAAATAGCAACAAATCAGATGCTCCGTAAGTCACTCTTTCTAGTAGTTAGCCCCATCTTTCAGTTTTCAGCACTATCGACAACTGCATTTTCCCCATCCTTCTACACCACTGGTTCCACATACTGGCTCTCCTATTGCTTCATTGATTCGCTCGCCTGTCTGTTCTACTGCTTCTTGTCGCGCGCCTTTTTTCTGTTTAACCACTTTACTTTGCATAGTTCCGCTTGGCCTCGTATTCTCTGCTGCAGATTTTTTCTTACTTCACGCGATCCCGTCACCTGCTGCGTCTGAAATTTCGTTTCTGCACGACTCGACATGAGACGGCGCTGGCGTTGGGCTTTAGTCTTTTTTTTTGGTTCATCCCGTTTTCCCGTTTCTGCATCATCCTTGGCATGTTCTTTGGTTGTTTCCTCCTCTTCGGGATTGTTCTGCTTCTGCCCACATTAAGAGCAGCGATGACGCCTCGACCCACGGCTCGCGAGTGGGAGTCGCGTCGTTCGATTGACGAAAATGCTGCTGGACGTGGGCAGAGAGAGCCCCACGCCTCATTTATTATCGATCCCGAGCCTTTCTTTCCAAGTGGATCCAGACCCAACGCCGGCTGCTTTGGGAAGTGCACTCTGGACGTGGAAATCCGAGATCTCTGCTCTAGTGTCTAATAGCTCTTCACACCGCGGGCACGCTTCTAGGAAGACCGGCAGATACGGATAGGCACTCGGGCTACGGCTTACTGCAGGAGAATCCAGCCCGATTGAACAAGCCACTTCCTGCGATGCCGTTAAGTTGTTCCGGTTGGTTTGTTGTCAAGATTACGTCCCCACGAGATCCTCCTGCCCAGGCTGGGCGGGGCGGAGACAGAGTTACTTGTCACTTCTGAGATGGGAAATGCATCGACGGCCGACGCACGAAATGGGAGCTCGGATTACTCTGTACCCACGACTTTCCTCTTCCACGTTTGCCCCTGCCATGACCCCCCTGCATCTCGTCTCCAGCTTCAGTTGAGCGTTGCGGATCCCATGATCGAATGATACTGCTTCATCCTTGCGTCGTTATCACGATTCACCTCCCCTCCCCTTGTTTCGCGGAATCTCAAACACAGTTTTGAAGGCTTCGGTGTAACTCTTCAGGATAGACGGCTCGCGGCTTGCCATCTACGGGAACCATCGCAACGGGGGCCCGGCAGAACGGAGAGTCTAGAGACCGCCCAGGAGCTTGTCCTAATTTCCACCAGGAACAGTGGCGCGCGTCTCTGCCAGTTGCAAAGCAAGGCAGAATTGCGCTGCTACCCGCCAAGCGGCACGCCACGAGACAAGTTTTGCTTCTCTGCCTCTTTCTGGCCCTCTTCGCGCCGTACGTAGTGTAAGGCCTAGCGCGAGTGCTAAAGTAAGGAGTTCTCATCGCCGCGCCCGCGTTGCTGGGTTGCGCGACTCGACTAGCTCGTTACTGCGTACCTGCACTTCGTAGTCACGTAGCGTAGTCGCCGCCCAACAACGAAGCCGTGGGATCTCCTAAGTCCTAAGTAGCTCGAGATACGGTTGATGAGTGTTTCCCCTTCGAGGCAGGCCAGCAAGGGCCAAGGGTCAGGAGGGGGGGGGGTCTTCGAGGAACGACGACCCCCAAATCACTTCCTCACCCCCCCCCGGACGATGGATGGGCGACCACTCATCAGACTCCATCTGGATAGGATCATCAGAGCGAGCGCCGGTCCGGGCACAGCCCACGCACCTCTCTGCCTGCGCAAGCCTCTGTCGGATCCAGGGTGCACTTGCAGATTGCCCAGCGGTAGCCTCCTTGGTGTGTGCCGGTGCCGTTCTTTGCGTGTCCTTTTTTGGCTCCGGGTTATTTTCTATTCTCTCTCCTTTTCCTTTTCTTTCCTTCGGTTCTTTTGTATTAAACTTGACAGAAACCCCCCCCCCCCCCCCCCCGCCCGTCACGTCACGTTGGCGCTTTTCTAGCTCTTTTGTTTCTGGGATTTGCTTGTTGGCCGACTTCCTAGTCCATTCTTGGCTTGGAACTTTGACCGCTGCCGAAACCCGTTTGCTGGATGATCCCTGAAGTACCTTTGTACTGACACGACTTAGCAACCCGAGGTCTCTTCAACACAAGAGGCGAGCTTCCGCTGCACCTGCTGCTTCCAATTACAACCTCCATGATGGTAACCGTTTGAGAGTCCCTGGTCGTTTCGCTCCGCGTCCAGCTATCGCCGCTTCCATCTCCGCCCCGTCGTCTCCGCTTATGACCGCCAGCCACGGACCTGCTCCGGCGTACTTCGGCGCTCCAGAATTGTACAACCACAAGGGTGAACAGCAACAGTCCACGATGGCCACGATGGCTACAACAGAGCCAGCGCGCTCAAGTCCGCGCATCGCCCGGGTGCCATACGCCTTGCAGACGGCTCCTTTAGATTCGAAGCTCATTTGCGAATCAATGCCTACCACAGCTCTCAATCGGCCGAGGAAACTCTCCCAGGCATCCACCATTACCGTTACGAGCATCAACAGCCCGAGAGAAAGCTTTGAGACACGATCCCGAAGCTCGTCGTACAGCAGCCACAGGACAAGCATCGATTTGAGTCCCAACATGTGGAGACCCGAGTATATGTACTCGCGGCCCAGTCAGACGTCCATCTTTAGGAAAAAGGCGAAGCCTGGAGAAATCTTTGCGAAACTGCCCGGAGAGGTCTTGGAGCTGATTCTGGGCGAGCTCAAGAAGCTCCATCTCGAGAAGCCCACGGACAGCTGCGCGACATGTTGGATGAGGGATGTGTGTTCGGTTACCCTGACGGCGAGAAAATGGTGCAAGTTCGCGCGAGTGGCCTTGTAAGACTCTTGCCCTTCGTCAGGATCTGTCTCTTTGCTGACTACGTATCTCAGGTATGAGGATATCCAACTTGTCGGAGCCGATTCATCATCTCAGAAAAAGCGACACAAAGTTGCGTTCGGCTCGCGCATGATGCTACTCAGACGGACACTGAGAGCGAACTCGTACCTCGCCGGACTTGTCCACACTCTCAAGGTCCCGAGCCCACCTGCTGGGATCGTGCTGGAGGACTATCACAATCAGGTCGCGGCGCTGATCATGGCTTGTCCCAATTTTGAGCGTCTCATCGGCCTTCACCCCCAGTATAATCACTCATACAGCAAGCTCTTCCACGCGCTCTCATCTCGCAAGCGTCTGAAGCACATGGATTGGATCGTCGAGCCTTCACCCTACCAGCGGCAACACCGATTCAAGTCGAGCTCGCGTAGCAATGTCGCCGCGATAACACAGTCAGCCTCCGATGCTTCCGTCACCCCCGGCGACCTGCAACCACACCAGAGCGCGGCGTTCCTCGACTTCCACGTCGACTGGGCCCATCTCACGACCTTGTCGATTCACTGCCTTCCCGGCGCAACCCTTACTCCGGATAGCCTCGTCAGCTCAGCACTGATGCACCTAACGTCTCTGCAGCACCTTTTTCTATCGTGGATGCCAGTGACAGCCTTCAATGATAGCACACTGCTCTCGCTCCCCCCTTTGCGTACACTCTCACTCACCCACGTCCCGGGCGTCACCAGCAACGGCATCTCTGCCTTGGCTACACTCCCGACGAGCCAGGCGATCCAGAAACTGACACTGCGCTACACGAACCTCGACTCCCTGCCCGCCTTGGCCCGCATCTTTTCTAACTTCACCTACCTCGAGGCGTTCACCCTCGTCCAACCATTTGCGCCCACGCTCCCGGAGGATACATTTATCTGGCTCATGCCATATCTCGCCTCCTCGTCCCTGCGAAAGCTCCACTGGGACATAACGAGCAACACGACCCACGCCAACGCCGCCGACTCCATCCTCGCCCGCAGCATCGCCGCCGACGGCTTCCCCTCCCTGCGCAGTCTTCGCAGCCCCAACGATCCCGAAGGCATCTTCCAAGCCCTCTGCCACCCGCAGGAGAGGACAGACAGCGCCAGCGACCGCTTCCGCGGCCCCAATGGACCCGCCCGGAGCGCCTCATTTCCCACCCCCGGCACGACCCATAGCCCCGTCTCGCCGACGAAGCCGTCCCGTTCACCCACCGCACCGGCGTCCCCCGTCATGACCGATACCGCTCGCGAATGCACCAATCTTCACGTAGCCCGGCTCGCGGCGCAGGCCCGCCTCGAGGCCGCGCGCGCAGCGCTCCCGCGGTTCTTTTTGAATGTTATTGACGAGGACGGCACGGTGCTGGAGAAGTACGGACTCGCGGCTTTCATTGGCACGGTAGAGAGCCGCATCACGTATAACCTGCGTCCCGACCCGGGCGCAAAGGACGAGCGCGGTGGGCTGGTCGAGATGGCAGACCTTGTGGCGGATAACGGCGAGGAGGTCGCCGTCGGGCGTGAAGGTTGCCAGGGCCGGTGGAACGTGTCATCCACCGTCTCGGACAAGAAGGATCGCGAGAGGTGGTGGCACACTGAGAGAGGCCGCTGGCAACAACCGGAGCTTGCCTGAAGCGCAAAAGTGACTTGGCGACAACCACCGTGACGAAGCCCCGAGATATGGGCAATTTTCCCCCATACGGGAAACCAAGGCTTTCATGACAACGTCATGATCTAGCCCGCTGTTTATTTCCTTGAACGTCTTGATGAAAACGGCCAATCTCATGATATCCAAATTGTTGCAGGGGCACTGGGGGATCGGTTCAAGATGCCTTCAAGATACCAAACGAAACAGCAGGAAAAGATACACATGTAACGTATATAATGTTTATAATGGTATTCATAAGTAAATGGTCACGATGGCGTGTGGAGGAAAGGGGAGGCTGTACATAGAAACGGAACATAAAGTTGTAGTGTAATACCACAGACAATCAATATCCACAAACGATCGGAACCCACACTGAACAAAGGTGGATTTATCGAGCTGTCAAGTTTCCCAAAAGAAATATATTGTATGAGACAAGATGTGAGAAGGGCCGTGGGTTCTGGCCAGTGTGTGTACCTACAGAGACATACCCGCTCAGGCCAAAGAAACGCAAAGTTATCCATCGAGACGGGAGTTTCCAGACCGTTTGCTACGAAACACACCTCAACGCAGAAGGCGAAGCGTTTTGCACTGCCCCAAGAGAAAAACCACCGTGTCGCTGTTGCCTGAGCCCTTCTTGACTCGATGACCTTGCCTTACCTTACGTGAGGCGAGGTGAGGTGGTGATTGCTGACTGCTCAAAGCCGAGTTCCTGTAGGTTTCGCTGCCTTACAGTAGTCAGCGAAAAGGGCTTCATCCCTTTCACAACTCTCTGATGTCTTTCCGCACGGACGTCTGCCGTCCTGGCACCAATATAGTTTGATTTCATATTGCTGTACCGACCCACTATGGAGGCCCTGCTGACAGCTTTCGCCCCACCTGATCCAAATGTTTGGAAAACGGATTATGCACAGCATTATTCGCTGCTCAATGTTCGCTTCTGCTGCTTCAAGTGCTTGTAGCCTGCTTATGTTCACGTGGTGCTTTCGGGGGTTTCCAGTTCGATCTTGCACATTGGTGCAATCATCTTTCACTTGAGAATATGTCATCTAGTTGCCCGACAAGCTTTTAGAAATCTCACTGTGGGACGTGGATAAAAATTCGAAGTGGATAACAATTAGAAATCCTAATATCTTCACTGAGGGGTGTGTAAGAAGGGGGAGCCACTCCCAGCGGCGACCACCCGGTTCGTCTAAAACTAGCTCGCTTATTATATCTAGACTCGTCGATGTATACTAAGTGATAGGACTGGAAGTTAGATAGGTTGTGCAGGTAGTAATCGCGTAGTTGGTCGTTCCGCTGCTTGGCTATTTGACGGATCGTCTTCTTCGACTAAGCGGCCGCCTCGAGAACCCGACCGATGCTCCACGTGGTAACGAGAACCTCGAATTCATTCCACAAGAAAGTGACCATTTCGTCTTGGCACATGAACGGCTTTTGAATTAGTTACGCTAATAGTACTTCGAGTATAGGCTGTGTTATGGATCGCGGCCGGCCGACCGCGTTCGGCGGGGCCTTAGTCGTTCCAAAGCATTGTAGATTGGATCTAATGTGGCTGATAGTGCGGGTGCTGTACCCGACAAAGCGAACCATCTGGGCATTGCTTAGCGACTTACTGAGGATCATATCACGGATGAAGAAATGCTACGAGCCAGCGGTGAAAACAAGAGTAGCTGAAGCGGAGTTGAGGGCTGGCAACAAGTGAGTAGTCTGGAAATAGGTTGAAATACCGGATAACGACCAGGTCTTCTTGAATATTCCATAAGTTCTCCAGTACCATTAGTGCTAGTGGATAACGGGATGGGCGGCTGGCTGGTCTCAAGCAAAGACCCATATCAACCCATATCAACCCATGTTTTCCCCAAACGTTTTGAGCGCAGTTCAGATAATCTGAACGTCGTCGCTCAAGACAGCAGAATAACGGCCAGATTTTCCATAATCTCACGCCTACAAATAATTGCCATCGTTTATCTCTTTATTACGATATTGGAAGACTAGTGACTGGTGCATGTCCCAATCACCATCTTTCTTATGGCCATGCTGCCATGTTGGGGGACTTGGCAGTTGCTTTCACCATGATTCGCCAGGGACGCACTGCTCAGCCGTACAAAGCTGGCGCTTACGGCCCAACCCCTCATTCCCGTGAGCACTCCATCTTCAGGGCGCATTCTTTTCCTCTTGCCCAATCTCAAAGTCAACAGTAAAGGTCCTGGTCAACACGAGGTAACGAGACAAAGTAATACCCTAACGCGACGAACGATATGGTAAGAAAAACGTTCCGTAATCAGAACATTTAATAACCTCCTATTGTAGCCACTACGCCAGCTTTCACCTGGCCTACAGAACGCTGATGAGGATGCGGTAAAGATCGAGTACGTTGAATAGCCTTTTGTCTCGACGTGGCTAATTAGCGCAGTATCATCGCCGTGCACGGCCTGAATCCCCGATCCAAGAACGATGCCGATCACGCATGGGACACTTGGCGAACCCCGTCAGGACCTACAGGACGCCTCTGGCTCCGTGATGACCTTCCTAAGTACGTTCCCGATTCGAGGATCTTCCTCTACCAATACAACGCCACCGCCGTGTACGGGAAGGATCATAGCACCTTCATCGACAAAGCCAACGACCTTCTCGAAGATATACGGCTGGAGCGGGAAGATGTTGATTCTCGACCGATACTCTTTTTGGGACATAGCATGGGCGGGCTGTTGATCAAGCAGGCACTCATCAACGCACACAACAATCCCAACTACACACCTATCAAGGACGCCACCAGGGGGTTGGCATTCTTCGCAACACCCCATCACGGCGGCGACTGGAAACTGGTGAGTCTTGGAAGTCTGGCTGCCAAGATCGCTACGGCGACAGGCTTCCAGAAAGGCGATGATGTGTTGGAGACATTGAAGCAGGGGAGCATTTTTTCGGATATCATGAACGAGCACTGGAGGCACCAGCTCTTGCAGTACGACATTGTATCCTTCTGGGGAGGCTTTGATAACGTAAGCGCTTCTCTTCTCATATTGAGCTATTGCTTACGCCTCTTCTCAGGTTGTCCCAAGGGAGAGCGCTCGGCTAGGCATGCCAGGCGATCGCGAGAATGTCGTCAGACTGGATGCCGACCATAGCACGGTATGTAAATTTGGTAGAGCTGAGTTAGACCAAGACAACCTCAAGCGTGTACGAAGCAACATCAAGGACATGTACAAGAAAGCACTGAAGCAGAGTGAGTTGACTGCCATTTCCACCCCTGTTCCCTCGGAATCCAACGCCGACAGCGAACTGCGGGCGCGCCTAGATGTATTACGGGGCAAGTAGCTGGAAATCAGATAGCTAGTTACTAAAGGTTCTGAGTTGAGGGGTCTGAATACTAACAACCGTATGCTAATATAACTATATTATAAGATGGCAGTGCAAATGACCCAGCTGCTACCTCATTTGCACTTGCCCCTAGCATATCGGAATTCAGCGGCGTGAATCGCTTCGTGGCCAGAGGCGATGAACTCAGATGCTTGCATGAGGCCTTAAAAAGGACTGGCGAACGTCGCACCGCCCTCCTACATGGCCTGGGCGGTATGGGAAAGACCCAATTAGCTGTAGCCTACACTAAGCAGCATCGCACCGACTACTCGGCTTCAATCTGGATCAACGCGACAGACGAGACAACGCTGAAGCAGAGTTTCTACCGAGCGGCTCAGCGAATTTCACGCCAACATCAGTCCGTGTTGTATATAAAAAACGCCGTGGCAAATGAGGACCTTGATGAGACGTTAGAGGCAGTCAAATCGTGGTTGAACCAACCCAAGAACGACCGTTGGCTTGTCGTCTATGACAATTATGATGACGTTAGATTCGATCGTCGTAACGGGATCGTAAGCAGTGCGAGACCAGGAACAGCAGGTAGCTGGTCTGATCCAGGCAATACGCTCTCCGGCTCAGCCGTTTCAAAGGCGTACGACATTCGATCATACCTCCCTGAGACCGACCATGGTGCCGTCATCATCACCACCCGATCTGCAACGGTGAAACTCGGCAAACGTATTCCGCTAGGCAAGCTGAGGGATGTCAACGATAGCTTAGCGATACTTACATCAACATCTAATCGTGACAATTTTGTTGAAGGTAAGCGGCTCAAATGACGAATTATATGCGACTAAGTGGTCAAACAGATCCCGATGCCACTACGCTTGCGCGACGGCTTGATGGACTTCCACTCGCACTCGCAACAGCTGGGGCCTACCTAGACCAAGTATCAACTAGCTGCAAGGAATATCTTGAGATGTATGAAAAAGCATGGTTGCGCTTACAGCAGGAAAGTCCAGAATTGATAGAGTACGATCGCGCGTTGTACTCCACGTGGAATGTCTCATTCCGGCATATTCAGTTGCAAAATCAGCATGCGGCCGAGCTCCTCCGTCTGTGGGCATATTTTGATAACCAAGATTTATGGTACGAAATATTGCAGGCAGGAACAGCGGAGGAGCTGCTCTGGCTTCACAAGACGACGGAGAACAAGCTTGATTTCGACGCAGCAATGAGGGTTCTCTGTGAACACGGGCTAGCAGAGCGCAATACCCACATCCAGGAGTTGGGGTCAGAATCGACAGGATACAGCATACATGGGTGTGTTCATGCATGGACGATCCACGTGCTCAATACAGAAACAAGCCAACCGCTTGCCGGAATCGCGGTACGATGTGTAGCCTCCTACATCCCTAGTCGAGAGCAAAGCAAGTACTGGATAGTCCAACGACGACTTTTACAACATGCCGACCGATGCGTCAAGATATTGGAGACCAGTATCGAGTTGAAAGACAATGCGTGGGTGTTCCATGCACTAGGCAACCTCTACTCGGACCAGGGCCGACTCAAAGAGGCCGAGGCGATGTACGAACGGGCTCTTCAAGGCTCCGAGAAAGCACTAGGGCCAGACCACACATCGACACTCTCGACGGTCAACAATCTAGGCCTTCTCTACTTAGACCAGGGCCGACTCAAAGAGGCCGAGGCGATGTACGAACGGGCTCTTCAAGGCTACGAGAAGGCACTAGGGCCAGACCACACATCGACACTCGATACGGTCAACAATCTAGGCATCCTCTACTCGGACCAGGGCCGACTCAAAGAGGCCGAGGCGATGTACGAGCGGGCTCTTCAAGGCTACGAGAAGGCACTAGGGCCAGACCACACATCGACACTCTCGACGGTCAACAATCTAGGCCTTCTCTACTTAGACCAGGGCCGACTCAAAGAGGCCGAGGCGATATACGAGCGGGCTCTTCAAGGCTACGAGAAGGCACTTGGAGCAGACGCCATAAAGACCTATATTCCTGCCTTGAACGCACTTCAAAATCTCGGCTCTTTGTTCGAGATGCTTGGCGAGAATAGCAAAGCTATGTCATACTACCTAAAGGCACAGAACGGCTTCTTATCTGTACTAGGGTCACAGAACGAGCGATATACACATTTATCTGAGAAAATCCGTTTATCACAGCTTGTTGTACAAGAGATGGATGTCTCGCTTCGCGTACAGAAGCCAGGACGAGGGCTTAAAGCCAAATGGAGGACATTGAAGGGACATCTAAAGGGGGGCTAGACACGCTTCAGACTATGTTGCGTGCTAATTATAGTAGAGCCATAAAAACCATTACTGAGCTAAGTCCCGCCTTTCCCCTATACCAGCATCTATAAATCGTAATCTCCTATACTACGTGCATTATAGCGGGTTCTCTATACAAGTGGATTTTCTGCGAATAGAAGCCAAAAAGAGCTGCAAATGGGGCCAGCCTATTTAGGCTGTTGAATATACTCCAAATGATACGATAACAAATCGTACTGTGTAAGCGCCAAGAACTTTGGATGTCCGTGCGGAAAGAGATCAGAGATTTGTCAACAGGATGAAGCCCTTTTCGCTGACTACTGTACTAAAGTCAGCATGCTGGAGTTCCGGTCAAGAAAGGCATTCATTCCACTGTTTCCGGGAGAGTGTGGCGGGACCTGAGCGTCCATTCAAACGTCCAGGGGACTCTGCCCGGTCGCAGCAGCCACACACCCCCGCCCCCACCACCTGTTCTTCCTCCCCCGTCAATGGAAGTCCAGTGTGACTGCCTATCGGTGCCTGTGTTCCCCTTCCATCGGTACGCCCGTCCGTCGCCCGCCCACCCCACCTGACCTCTGTCCAACTTCTTGCCCTTCCGTCAGCCTACCTTCGACGACGACTTATTGACTACTCATCATTTGGATAACACTTTGCACCCACGAACCAGTTGTTCGTCTCAATACCGAGCGGGTCAATAATTGCGCCATCACTTTATTTTGGACGTATCAACTATCCACTCCAGCCTGCGCTTGATATTGCTCTGCGACTACGGCGGATGAACACCCACCCCCTGCTCCTCGGTGACCGCTCCCCGGGACTTTGTGCTCCGCTCACCATCTTCCCTTCCTTCACCAGCGTCTAGCTGGCTTCACTCTGGTCAACTTAGCGATATCCGTATCTCAAGTAAGCCGAGGCCAAGAAATCAACATTAGGAGCCCGAGAAAGAGAGCGGGAAACGGCCAACGATAGTCTCAAACGGCACCTTTGGCCAAAAACGCCATTCTACCGTTAACGGCGGGGTGAAGTGCGTACTTAGGCAGAATCCGCCCATAACGACAGGACAACACGGCAACGCGATACACATCGGTCAACAAGACCACCAAGATCTGTGAGGAAAAAGAAAATTCAAAATGTCAAAAGACAAGACGCTCCGCATCTTTTGCTTCGGCGACTCGCTGACGGCCGGGTACTCGTCCTACGGCGCCGTTTACCACCCGTACTCCATCGCCCTCACAAAGCTGCTCGCCATGTACCTTCCCGACACGCAGATCGTGGCGACGGACAACGGCATGCCCGGGGATGTCGTTTCGCAGGGAGCCTTTGCGCAGCGTTTTGAAAGCGAGAGTTCGTAACTTTGCCTTTTCCTTTTTCATTCAACGTTCACTGCATCGTCGCAATGTTCTGTCATGACTTTCTCATCCCTCCTCTCAATTCATCTCATCTTCCCGGCTTGTTGTAGATGAAGTACTTGCTAATCTCATGATATAGTGAGCCAAACACAATATGATTGGGTCGTCATACTGGGAGGCACAAAGTATGTTTAATGTCCATGTAAATTCCCTTTGAAGCTGCCTCGTACTAACAGCATGCGCCAGCGACCTTGCATACGATGTGCCACCAGATAGAATATTTGACTCTCTTCGAAGAGTATACGACTCCGCCATCGCAAAGGGCAGCAAAGTGCTCGCATTGACGGTCCCCGAATGTTCAGCCAAGAATGAGAAGCTCGATGCCCGCCGGCGGCAGCTCAACAACATCATCATCTCTCATCAATCACCAAATTAGTATGTCCTGCCTTTCACACATGCTCTTTCATTCCGTGTATCCCCTCGTCTTTTTCCATGTCAGAAGAAAATCACAAGGCCAAACGTACTAATCACCGATCACCCAGCCACGCCTTCGACCTCAACCCGAGGATCCCATACCACGCCCTGACCGAGCGGGAATGCAAAAGGTACTGGGACGACGGCCTGCATCTGACACCAGCGGGCTACGACTGGATGGGCGCACACATCGCAGAGGCCCTCCGCGACTTTGTAGAGCTCGAGCGGAATCCTCAGTCCAAGAGAGCGCGTAGGGCGCGACGCAACGCCGAAGAGCAAATCTCTTTTGACGAGGAGGACGGGGATCCGCACTCGCTCAGCGAGGGTTACGTATTCGTGCGGATGAGAGACTTGAACTAGATACCTTTTTTCTTTGATGCGAATATTGTTTCTCATTGCATGGTTCATTCGTCGTCCTCTCTTATTCAGTCTAGCTCTTGTCTACTACGCGAGTTGGGCTACGTGACTGCTCCATGCTGACGTGCTTTCTCTTGATTTGTGATATGCAGTGCGCTCTCTGTTGATCGCATGAATCCTTAAAACGCCAATGTTAAACCCCCTTTTTTACAACGCCGATAGTGTGTGTGTGTTTTTGTGTTTTTGTGAAGTTCAGTTTCCTCATAGTAATTCATCTCAAATGACCAAGTTGGCTTCCACGAATTCCTGAGTAGCTGTTAGCAGATGATTCACTAAAGAGTGCCCGAAACGTAAGGGATAGACTCACGGGGAACTGCTTTTGCAGAGCATTGGTCACGTTCTCAACCTCCTCCGCCACGCTCTGCACATTCGCATCCCACCGCCGCATCTCCTTGCCGACAACGACCTCGGCCCGTCCGCTGCCCTTCTTCCCAGACGCCTCGCCGCCCTCGAACCAAATCACCTCGTCGAGCTGGTCGATCCGGCCGAGCAGGCGACCCTGCTCAATCATCCGCGCCGTCGTCTCCTCGGCCTTTTCGGCGTCCAGACCGAGCAGGGAGCCGAGCGCCTCGAAGCCAATGTTGCGGTACAGCCGCGACGCGCCGAGCAGGTTGTGCTCAACCACGGCCTTGGCCAGCACGGTGGACCCGTCGGCCGTGGTGGCGAGCTGGTGCGGCTGTAGGCCCTGCGCAAACTTGTCCACCTCCTCCGGCGCGAGCAGGCGGTCGAAGAACATCTTTTCCAGCATGCCGTGCTCGTCGAGCCCTGCGGAGCGCTCGTCCTTGTACAGCCGGCCCAGGGCGCGGCTCCGCATGGGACCCGCGGGGGCGAGGATGGCGCACTTGACGGCCATGCCGAGGGTGTGCAGGCGCTCCTCCTCGGCGATGGCGGGGCTGACGCTGATTTCGTGGTAGCGGCCGCTGGCGCCGAGGAAGTCGCGCTTGGAGTCGAGGATGCGGGCCTGGGAGAGCTTGAAGTGGAGGTCGAGGTCGCGGTCCTGGACGGTGTGCATGATGTTCTTGAGCTTGTTGACGTACGTCTCGGCGGCGGTGGTGTCGTCGACCTCGAGGTAGTTGCGGGCGATGCGGACCCAGACGCGGGCTTTATCGTCGTTTGTGACTTTGCGCTGGGAGCCGTCGAGGGGGATCTCGGCGAGGACGTTGGCGGCGTCGAGGAAGTCTTCGGCGCTCTCGTGGGCCTCGGCGACGAGCTCGCGGACGGAAGCGGCCTGGTCTAGGAAGGAGGAGGGCTGGGTGGCGAGCTGGGCGAGGGTGTGGTTGCCGACGGCGATCCAGAGGTCGTCGTTTTTGAGGGCGCGGAGGGCGGCGACGAAGGAGGCTAGCAGGGCGCGGGTAGAGACGATGCCGAGGGAGGCGGCGAAGATTGCGTCGAGGACGGCATTGAGGTCGGGCGCGGCTGTTGGAGGGGACGAGAGGGTCTTGATGTCGGCGATGATGGACTCGTAGGCTGGGGCCTTGTCGCCGGGGACCGAATCGGCCTGGGCGAGCCGCTCGGCGACCTTTTGCGAGGGCGCCATGGTTTTAATGTGTGCTGATGTGTGTATGTCGAGCTATTCGTGATCGGCTGGTGTAGGGTATTGTGTTCTGGGTGGTACGGTCGGAGTAGGGTGCGTGTCTAAGCTTGTTGCTTCTTGATATTGGTGGTTGATCGTGAAGCTGTAAGAGCTGAGGTGAGCTCTTGGATGATTGTTATTGATAGAGTTAGGCGGGCATGGTGGGGTAAGAGCTCTGAGGGGCCGTTGGAGGGGTGCCCGGTGCAGGGGCCCACGGGCCAAGGTTCCGGAGCACTCGATTCGACTTGCTCCAAGAGGCACCACAAGTTTCCATGCCATTCATACTTACGATGTTGAGTGCAGACAAGTTGACAAGATAGGAGTCAAACAGTGAAGCCACTTTTCTGAGATAGCACACAATGAGGCTATCATGACACTCATAACTGCCTGTGGATTATGATTCGGAGTCCTCCGCAATCTACATGTTCTCCTGCAGATGAGGTACTCACCCAGTTCTTCACTTGTGCATTGAAATAACTCTTTCGCAATGGTACAAGTTAGCCAGCCAATTCATCTAGAAAGGGGATTTGACATCCAAGTCATAAGGCAATGAGTATTCCACAGCAACCATTGTTAATGCAGAGAACTTGACTGGTCCGCACATTTTACATATCACGAGCATTAGAAAAGTCGATTTAAACGCAAAGAATGTATCTCCATTTACCGTGGCACATGTCAACGTGGTGACTGTTCGGGGTACTGCTGCAATCCATTCATTATAGTGGTATTCTCTCCGGTTCAACAGGTAAGCACCTCTGCAATGCATGACATCACAACCTCTCTTGACGGGAATTTCCACAACGAGCAGCTCGACTCAAGTCTCTGTATTCGGTGTACCATCGGAGACTAGCAGATTTGTCCCACGAAACCGACGTGCTATTTTAGATATTTTAGAGACGGAACTTTTTTTTTGTAGGTCCGGGTTTCTGGGCAGTCGGGAATTTTTGCCAAACGTGACTTGGTACCCTTTCCGTCGATTTTGTCCAGTCAATTTCGCGAGCAGGGATATGTGGGGCTGAGAAGAGTTGTGTAATCATCAAAAGTTATGACACCGCCCGGGTATTGTACAATATCGGCCCATCATCGGCTGATGATGACGAGCGAGCCCTCTCATCTCAGATATACGCTTTTTCTTCTCTCTCTTTCGTCTTTTTTTTTTCTTCCTTCCCATTTTATATAGAAAAGTCCACCGTTTGCTTAATTCGTTTAGAAGAATCGTGACTTCTCCAGCTAGTGCTGCAGAACAATCGGCTTCCCGGCCTCCCAGTTATTCAGGCTCTCCTGGATATTAACCCAATACCGGAGATTCACCGCCTCCCTCTTGGCCGTCTCAATATCGTCGTGCCGGAACGCCGTCTCGAGCACCTCCTCGCTCGCGCGTATCCTCCCGTCGTTGGCCTCCCTCTGGCCCTCGAGCTCGCTCTCGGCCGTCGCCTCCTCAATCTCCTCGCGCGCCTCGAGCACCACCATCAACAGCTCCGGGTCCTCGACCTTTAGCGTCTCGTCTTCGGCCACGTCGACGCCGCGGAGCAAGAGGAGGTACTGCGCGCGCAGGAGCGGGTTCGACAGCGTCTTGTACGCCTCATTGATGCGCGCCGACGTCGCTTCCGCGCGCGTCTTGAGCTCCGCCGGGTGCATGTCCGGGTGAGCTTTGGCCTGCAGCCGGAGGAACTCGCGGCGGAGGGCGCGCTGGTCGATGGGGAAGTGGCCCTTGGGTGGCGGGCCGTCGGGGAGGGTAATGGGGAAGAAGTCGTAGTGCGTCTTGGGGATGGTGTTGTCTGGCGTGCTCGCGGCGGCGGTCGCTGTTTCGCTGTCTGGTGCCGCCGTCGCCGGCCGTGACAGCGGAACGGTATTGCACATCCACCGCTTTTGACTGGGAATCACAGACGATACTCCAGATGCCCATCGTGCATGTGTTGTAGCTAACGGACTGCTGGCGGCGGCCACGGTCACCGCACCGGATGGCCGGGCCATTGTCGCTTGTCGCCGGCATCTCGCGCATAGGCGAGATACGTCTCGTACGCCGGTCTGGATTGATGTGCGCATGTTGCTTGTGAACGTATTGTGTGTGGGCTTCGATTCTGGCGTATGCGACTCGGAATTACAGGTCAAGGCAGCTGGGTCTTTGCGATCGCAAGAGTCGTCGCTGTAGTGTCGATTGACGAAATTTACGTACTGCTTTCTGGGGGCGGATCTGGATGACGTCCCCGTAAAATCATTGCCGCGCCAAAGCGAAGCGAAGCGTCTAGCGCCGAGAGCCGCCCCACAACTAAATCCGAAATCGGGGCATGTTCGGGGTTGTCTTTGCGCGCTCGCGGTCTTCTTTCCACTGGAGCGAGCCCCCACTTATGAAAGTGCCTCCACTAGGTACTCCGTACTCCAGCACCTCCAGCGCCTCTCCACAGAACGCTTGACCAAAAAGTGCCCTGTGATTCGACGATGGACTGGCTCCTCTGCTGCCCCAACCCCAGATCAGCCCCCCATGGGCCTGGTCTCCGACACCAGACGTACGGGGTAATTCCCGCCGAATGGTTGGCGACTTATTACGATGATGTTCCCGCTCTGTCAGTTGTTGAGATTCCTCCCCACGTTTCCCTAAGCTGTACGACTAGTAGAGCTCCGAGTTGCTAACAAGATGTCCAAGATATTCACTGCTGAAGAAGGTCGGTTTGCTGTGCTTCCCTTGCTGTGATGCTTCCGAGTCAATGCTGATACAGTTCTCACAGTGGCCAAGCACAACACATCCGACAGTTGTTGGGTGGTGCTCTACGGCAAAGTGTACGATGTGACCGAATTCCTCCCTTCACACCCCGGCGGCTCCAAGATCATTGTAAAGCTTTCCGGCAAAGATGCGACAGACGAGTACGACCCCATACACCCGCCGGGCATCCTCGAAGAGAACCTCAAGCCCGAAGACTGTCTGGGCACGGTAGACCCCGAGTCATTGGCGCTGCTACAACCTCAGCCTGCGAAAGCAGAATCTGAGAAACCCAAGGAGGGCCCGCCCAGGCTCGAGACGCTGCTCAACCTCGACGAGATTGAGGAGGCTGCCACAAAGATTATCCCCAAGAAGGCGTGGGCGTACTACTTCTCAGCCGCTGACGACCTCTGGACCAAGAGCAACAATGGTCGCGCATACAGGCAGATTCTTCTGCGGCCTCGCGTCTTCGTCGACTGTACACAAGTTGACACCTCCACAAGCCTGCTCGGCAACCACGTCGGGCTTCCATTATTTGTGGCGCCGGCTGCCATGGCACGACTTGCCCACCCTGACGGTGAGCGAGGCATCGCGAGGGCAGCGGCCAAGTTCAATGCGATGCAGTGTGTCTCGAATAACGCGTCCATGACCCCGGAGCAGATCATTGAGGGTTCCCCTGAGGGTCAAGTGTTTGGATGGCAGCTCTATGTGCAGAATGACCGAACCAAGAGCGAAGCCATGCTGAAGCGCATCAACGCTATGAGGGACCGCTACAAGTACATCACCTTGACCTTGGATGCACCGTGGCCTGGAAAGCGTGAGCTCGACGAGAAGCAGCAATTCGAGGGATCATTCGAGGTTGAATCCGAATCAAACTCAAAGGCCGATGAGGCGAAGCGGCCAGGCGGCGGAGGTGTCGGACAGCAGCTGTTCTTCGGCACGGCAGCAGACCTGGAGTGGAAGACGACATTGCCGTGGCTGGCTCAGCACACCGACCTGCCCATCGTGCTGAAGGGTCTGCAGACGCATGAGGACGCTTACCTGGCGGCCCAGTACGCACCGCAGGTGAAGGCCATCATCCTGTCCAACCACGGTGGTCGTGCTCTCGATACGGCACCACCCGCTGTTCACACGTTGCTGGAGATCCGCAAGTACTGCCCCGAGGTCTTTGACAAGATCGAGGTCTGGGTCGACGGCGGCATCAAGCGTGGTACCGATGTTGTCAAGGCTCTCTGCCTGGGTGCAAAGGCGGTGGGCATTGGTCGCGCTGCTCTCTTCGGTCTCGGTGCCGGAGGCCAAGCAGGTGTCGAGCGGACATACGAAAGTAAGTCCTGATGTGGGAGCCGTGTCATTGTGAACGAGTCGCTAACCTTTCGCCCAGTCCTCAAAGCCGAGATGGAGACATGCATGAGGCTGCTGGGAGCAAAGAGCATCAGCGACCTAGGACCCAAATTTGTAAGCGGCAACACCACAATAGCCAAACCCCAAGACTGTAGTGAGACGTCGGATGCTAACGAGTGCCGCAGATCAACACCCGTGCGGCGGAGAGAGATATCTACGACGGCGAGTCTGGGATCGAGAATAGGGTTAGCCTGTGGGTGAAGTCGAAGCTCTAGTGCGGATGTTCCCCACGACCGGGAAACAGCTGGAGCAAGCTGATCTGACGTTGCGTTGTATAACGGGAAAATTTATTGGGCAAACGTGGGGTAAATGGCATCATTTGGTCACGAAGTCGAGCGTTTGCATGAAGTCCTGGCTACGAGGGTGGGATATGCCTCATGCTCGAAGCAGGATATGCCTGGATCTTTCAGGGCGTTGGGATGAGACGAGAGACAGACAAGAGCGCTCAAGGTGTGTATCGCGGAATGCGTGTCCTACATCAGGTAGACCACAGCATTGCGGTTCCGCAGTCTCGGTCAGTATGAGTAGGCTTTGAAGATTCATACATCATCAGTATAGTATAGAAGCAAACTGAGGGTTCTGGATTTCTTACGAATTTTAGGCTTCGGATGTCAGCCAGTGTCATCATTGTCATCCTGTCACTGGCTGGTCTGAGATGTTCTGAAACGAAACCCTTGGGGAATCGGAATGGAGCCTCCAAGGATGGATTTTTTTGGGATTTCCCGATCCGACGAAGTTTCTCTCATTCGTCGTCCCGAGTCCCGAGAGGCAGAATGAAATCCTAGCATCCCGGTTGAGAATGTCCCCTGGTGGTGGGTAGGCAGTGATGTGCCGCAGCTTTCTCGGTCAGAAAACGTCAGGCGGAGCGGAGCGACTCGAGACGAATTACGTCGACATCGTGTCTGATAGGCTAGGGACCGTGGTGAAGAAAAGACGGCGGCCCGGTGTAGGGTGGTTGGGCAGGTAGCGTGGTGTGCGTGGTAGTGTGTCTCGTCGCGTGAGGACTTTTCTTTACACTATAAACCATAAACTTTGAAGCTTCCATTTCCCCGCTAAGCCCGGCTAGGGTATTGCAGGTATTGCTTCCTCTCGTCTCTCTTCGTTAGCTGCCGGTGAAAAGTCTGTGTCTGTGAGAATGGTTTGGTCGGATCGGGGCATCCAGCCACAAACATGATGGGCAAAGTTTCCTCCATGACGAGCCATTGGGGTCCCTGCGGGGGTGTCGATGAGGTGATGGCAAGCGGGTGACACAATAGTCTGCCGCGCAACACGATATACCTTGGCTCTACAGATATTTCTCCTTTTACTACTATTGTATTCAATAAAGAACATACTAAGTACATTACAAAATAGAAATAATAATAAGAAGAAGAAGAACAATATTATTAATCCTAATAGTAGTAGAAATAATAGAGATAGAGCTAGGGTATGGAGCGGCATTGTCACCTACTTGGATTGACAGAAAGACAATTATGGTCTTCTTCCCGTGAAATTCGGCGCCTAAACCATCGAGACACGGCCGCGTGGGATGTTATTGACTCTGTCCATTTTCGTCATTACCCTTGTGTCCTGATGATGTACTGGGCCCTGGCTGGCAGGCACAAGCTTCTTGCCTAAAGTGTGCTTGGCTGACTCAATCGGTCGAATGTTACGTTGGGGAAAAGTAAAAAAAACTCAAAAAAGATACACCATACGGAGAAGACAAGCTTGATATAATGGGTTGGTTGGTTGGTTGGTTGCTATGTAAAATGTCGAAATGAGGTGCGATAAGGTAATGGCTGGCAACTCTCCATGAGACCATTTGTAATGACAGCAGAAAGTATTGGACACCCAGCCTGGGCAACGTGGACATCAGGTCCTGAGCTTACATCGGGTCCGTGAAGTATCCGTAGCTGTTGTTACTAACTTCCATGTTGGTGTATGATTCCGGTGGGTAAAAAGTCGTTTGGGAAATGGAAGGACGCCCCACAGTGGCTCCCAAGCTCTGAGGTGCCCGACTCCACCCATTTGTGTAAGGAAGGCAGGGGCTCTCCAGGTTCCCCCTCAGTAACTGGCGCTTTCTGAGTGGCTCCCCAGGTAGCTAAGATTCTGCTAGTGTAAGTCCCCGTCCCCGTCCCCGCTCCTACCCGAAAAGTGCCCAGACTCTGGGGGATGCTGGGGGAGGAATGAGTGGGACATTGGCAGGGCGAAGGGAAGGGGCGCTGGGGCGGGCAAGGCGAGAGTGGGACGTCGAATATCGTTTGTCCCTCGCCGGCTGCAGGTGCAAGTGCAATGCAGTGCGCACCTCTCGTGCCTTCCTAAGTTCCTAGTGGGAGCATCAGGTACCTCAGCACCAACTTAAGCAGGCAAATACCTAACGACAAGGTAAGGTAGCTCACGAGGGCAAGCAAAGGTCCTTCCGTATCTCGAAATGTCAATCATTGGCCTTCTGCGTCAAATCTCCGAGCCAATTCATCCTGGCACGTCTGGTCCAGCCAATCCTCGCCCATCATCTGCCCATTTTGGCCCTTTACAGCTGCAGCGCCTTTCCGCGCCGCACTGCCTCCGGTTCCGTTTTCTCCTCTCTCTGTTCGTTCAGCTCCTCCTTGAAAATTCTGACACCTCGTGCCCATGTGATTGTCGAATTCGCCGCGCTAATTACCGGTTCTTTCGTTTTCGCGCGTGTTTAAGCCAAGACTCGGTGAGATTTCCATCAAAGTCAAACCGACAAACCCCCAATATGCAGTTTGAGAACCTTCATTGGCGCTCCGTATTACCTACACCCAAGAGGTTCACCAGTGGCGTATGAACGAGACAACGAACGCCATCAGCCTCAAGGTCATGATACTTTGATTGGGCAGTCGGGGATACCCTCTCGAACGCTAGAAGCCCGCCGGAGGGCCTCCTAGCGGGCGGCGTGCGCACTCTTGAATCCTTGGAGTTGTCAACGTCCACTGGTTCACTCGCCTCCACCTCGACACTTGTCTCATCGAAAGCACTACCACCTAGAGAGCCGTTTTGTTCACCATCTCATTCGAGGCTACCAATCTCGGCCATTCCATCGTGACTTGCCTCCTAACACGATCCGGATTTCCTCGCAACGGCTGGACCGCGTCTGCGGCTCACTTCGTATCCGTTGCCTCTTCACCTGCAAAAGGGAAATCTCATCAATACCCATGCAGGGGCGGGCAAGCCACGCAGGCCGGTATATTGCGCCGTAGTAACGCAGAACCTGTGTGAACACCACCCAGTCACACACACACACAACCACACGACATCACTTTCATATGCTCAATCTTGTTCACGAGATGCCGAGGGACCGCACTCCGGTGGCCCAGCGGGATTGCAACTCTGGTGTTAGCGGGCAAGGGTTCCCCCTACCTCTTCCTCGACACACAATGCGGGGCAGCCGCTTGGGAAGATGGTGTCGACCTCGTTGCTCGGCATGCCACCTAAACTGGCAACGCTGCTCCGGTCTGCCCTTGTAATTCGACCTGCCCCCCATCGCAGATTCGGACGTCAAAGATTTGACCTGGAATATTCTTCTGCGTTGGTCTATGGATGGCCTGCCATCTGACTGGCCGATCCGTTCTTTCTTGTTACGCACTCTAGCCATGTATCCGTTCGATAGGCACACTCGGCCCATACACACTCACGCTGCTGCTACCTTGCACTTACACACGATGCTTGCTCCACGCCCCAGGTACCGCAAGTCCGCAGCACATCCCAACCTACACTACCCTGCCTACCCTACCGAGTCGGGCTGGGTTAGTCGATGGGCCGGTAAGGAAGGGGAAGGGTTACATACCTGATGTGGACATGGAGATCTCGAGCTATCGCTGCCGTGTGATGCTTAGAGTGCCTACTATTCTCTGCCATCCCCAGCTTTTACCCCAGAAAGCATCTCTCTCGATCTCTGTACTTAAACACTTTCGGTCCCACTCGATTACTTGGTCCTCTCACATCCTAGACAAAACTTGTTGAGCTGTCATCGACATCGACGTTAAGCGGACAGTTTCCTCCCATCTTTCCCTTACACACATACACACAACACTCCCACACACATCGGGAACTCACGGAGGTGAAGAGCAACTCTACAGCTATATCACACGACATATTACGCATAACGAAGCAGTTCGGACAGCATGAGTAAACACGATATCTTCCACTCTGAGAATGCTGTCGGCGGTGGTGCTGCATACGGCGGTGGCAAGAGGAAGACGTGCATGAGACATTGTGCGAAGTTCTGGTGGCTCTATCTGATTGGTAGCGTCGCAGGAATTCTTCTCGTCGTCCTACTCATGTAAGTTTCAACATCTCTCCAGGAAGCTACGTGATTGAAATCCCAACGTTCTAACGCGAAACTTAGCATCTTCGTTGCCGTACCAAAGATTGCACAAAAGAAGCTCGATGATGCCGAGCTCACAGTTGACGGAATTATCGTCTCCAACACACAACCCAATTCATACAATATGGCTATCAACTCGACGCTGAGATCAGACGGTTCGGTCAAGGCCACGATCGAGGGTTTCAACGGCAAAATGTTCCTGACGGATCTCCCGGGAGAAGTTGCTTTCGTGAACCTTACGTTCCCTGAGACGAAGTCAGTTAAGCTGCAGACCGTCAACATCAGCCAGCCCATCAACATCGAGGACATGCCCGCCTTCACAACCTTCAATACTTGGCTCCAAAATAACGAGTCTGTCAGAGTTACGGTCAAAGGCGAAACTCACATCAAGGTCAATGGCATCGCCAGGCGCTACGGGGTCACTTTCAAGAACACAATGACCCTGAAGGGTAAGTTCCGCCGCCACTGCACTAATTCCCAGGTTGCGTCAAATAGGCTTGTTGCTAACGAAACCTAGGTCTGAACGGCTTCAAGGGCCTCAATGTTACGGATAACACCATCTCCCTTACGCCGGATGCTCGAGGTGACAACTTCAAGGGTCACGTCTCGATTCCCAATCCTTCCGTCCTCACTCTGGAAATCGTACGTTGATGCAACTTCCTCTCTCACAAGAATCAGTACTGACATCAAGGTCATCAGGGCAACGCCTCCTTTGCCAACCTTTTGAATGGTCAGGACATTGGCACCGTCTATCTCGACAACCTCCTACTCCACCCAGGCATGAACAACGTCACCATGCGTGCCAACATTTCCCAAGCCCCCGTCCTCGCCGCCATGCAAAAGAAGCCCGCGTGCGAAAATGGCATTATCCCCTTCAGCCTCCGCGGCAAGGACGTCACCAGCAACGGCCAGAGACTGTCTTACTTTTCCGATGCTCTCTCCTCCGGCGAGATCGTCACAGATATCAACATTGGTGACTCGTTGAAGAAGTCCCTGAACATTACTTTTACCTGCACTGCCTAGAAACTCAAGCGATTTTTGTTCAGTTCTAGTATTGTACGGAATGGATGAAAAGGGAGCACACCACGCGCTGGGTGATGGATACGGGTGGCAAGGGTTTCAGGTTTGCACGAATTTGACAGTATTAATGGATTTTATTGTGTTATTTGGAAAACCTTTGCGACTCGGAAGTAGCGTTAAGAGCGACGGACCGGATACATTGGTGGTGGTGTTGATGATTTGGCGACCCCAGATATGACGGCGTAAAGCCGCAAAATAACTGGAATATGATACCTTGTTAGCTGACTCTATTGACTGGATTGAGATGAGCGTGACTTGTAGAGATATCACATACGAAGTTACGATAACCTTCAACTGACAGCGTCGCAAATTCGCACTCTGTTTTTAAGATTCGACGTCATTTGCTCTCGTCCCTACAACCTGTTGTCCCAAGAACTCCCATTCATTCCACCTTTTTCTCTCTCGGTCCGTGTCCCAGAACTCGACCATCTGACGACAAATGACGGCTTTCACAGCACACCCTTTTGGGACGCACGAGCGCACAATGTTTCCGCTGGGAGCAGTCATCATCTCAAATTAGAGGAATCAATCGTGATGATACTTTTTCTGAGGCCTTGAGCTATGTGCTATGTTTCATTCCTCTAGATCTCTCCCTCCCTCTCTCTGTAGTCATCAACCCTTCAGAACTGCTACTGGGCGTGGAGACCGGCATCAGAGATCCGACAATCGTCGTCAATCCCACGTGCTGGAGATCTTGACGCGCGCCTCGGCTCCCAAGATTAGAGAAGAAGAAACGACACTACAACCCCAGCACCTGAGACGTCGTTGCGAAACTCTGTCTCCATTCTAGACCCCACTGCGCGGCAATGCAGACCGTGTAACCCCCCGGAGTAATAATGATATCCTTCCACGGCACTAGTGTATATTGTATGTATGTGGGTGTTTGCCGCTAGGCACGCCAGCACATCTCCTCCCCCGCATTGCCCATGCTGTTTGTTGATTGAGTGAAGTGATACCGAGGAGATCGACGGTGAAGTCAGAGAAACACCGAGGTCTGTGGCTGCCAATCGTGAAGGCAGTTTCGGATAGCTTCGAGGATAGGTTGCAATTAGAGGACCAAGTATGAAATCACACATAAATAGTCCGCTTGGCGATGCCAGAGATGTGGAGGATACACCCAATCAATGACACAAGACGTCTGATAGCTGCATCGGTGTCCTGGAAACTCCCCGAGCAGGTCAACCTGGGGCGGGCAATGGAAAGAGAAGGATATACTGGGTCCGTATGGGGGTGTCTGACAACTGCCCGTGTACTCACCCCTGCGCAGAAGAGTGAAGGAGGATAGATGGTCGGCGAACAATGGGCACCCCAGTACTCAGCTTGCCGATTTACTGAATCCCCCAAACGCTTGCCAAGCGGGATAGCCATGGCAATGAAAAGACGAAGCTGAAGCAGCTGACAGACGTGCATGACCAACGAATGCCCTATCAATGGAATCACCAACCATGCCAGCTGTTGCACTCACAGCGCACCCGCCTTCCTCTTCCCGCCACGCGAGACGATGCCCCCCTGCTCAATCCCAGCTGTGGCAGGCGAAGCAGAATCGGCGGCACCAGCGGCAGCCGGCACGAACTCGACGGGCCCGCCTCCCTTTCTCGCCCCCGCGCCGCGCACCTTGTCCTGGCTCTGCCGCAGCGCCGTCCTGCCCGCCCACTCGGGCAGGAGCTCCTCCGACGTCGGGTCCCAGCCGAGTTCGGACGGCAGCGTGGTGGCGTAGCCCGCGCGGCCGTCGAGCTCGACGAAGGACATGAGCTTGTCCGTCAGGCTCGGGTTGCGGAGGGCGGCGGACTGGGCGAGTTTGGCGTTGAAGTGAACGCCCTTCTTCTTGAGGTCGAGGAACTGGGTGAACTTGGCGCTGAGGGCCGGAGGAGGGGAGCCTGGGGGCGATGGGGGTATATCGAAGTTGGGGACGGGCGGGAGGGTGAGGTCGCGGAGGAGGGCGCGGGAGGCGGTGTATGGCGAGGCTGGAGGTTGGGATTGGCCTTCTCCCGACGGGAGATTTGGGAGCTGGGTGTCCATTGGGGGGAGGGAGGGGCCCAGGGGGACTGAGTGTTGCTGGACTGGGCCTATTGTTATGGCTTCTGTCGATGGCTGAGGCTCTGTTGGTTGCTGAGGTGCGGCGGCAGCAGCAGGTCGTGGTGATGGTGGCTTGACCTCATCTGAGGAGTTCGTTAGTACGGGGTCGCGAGAAGATCGGGGCTGATGGATGAGATCTGACTTGAGTCTGTTTGATCTTTGGAAGACGTGGGTTTCTCGGCAACCTCAGTCTGGATATTGTGTAAGTGAACGGTCTTCCCAGGGGAATGAGGAGGATCTGCCCGGGCGCACCTTTACGTCTTCAACTTCTTCATCCTCATCACTGCTGGCGTACGCTACCAGACCGCCCATTTTTTGATACTCTTAGGCTACGCTTGAATTATGTGAGATGGCGGGCTTCTCTCTCGTTACATTGACGTGGATTGAGAAGTGAGAGTAAGTGAGATGGATGAACAGGATAATTGGGGACAGGTGAGAAGCTCGGTGTGCTTAAACGCCCCACGCGACATGCGATAAAATCTGGGGAATGCACGCGCCCTGTGGTATCCGTATTGTACCTTTTTTTTTTTTTGCACACCCTTTCTAGTTGCTATCTTCTTCCATAGTCCTTGAAATTCCTCACATGCTGTTCGAAGTGACCGAGAATTGCAAAAAAGCTGAAAATAATGAGACGAGTAGAGTACTATGCCACCAGCCATCGCTAAAAGAGATTTAAGTGAGAATGAGGTATCTTCCCCGCTACACCTGGACAAACATACAGCCACATACTAAGTGTGGCTGATCAATGGTCCGTGCGGTGCACCGGGTAAAGCTCGGTGGAGTTGGCCTCGTTTCCAGGCGCATCAACTTTAATCTGATAATCATCACGTCGCAACTTTTCCGCCCCTCATCCCAGATCCGTCGCTCGCAATCCAATAGGCCTAGTTCATGGGAAACACGGCCACGTACAGCGACATTTAACCATCAGGTTCCGAAAGCTTAGAATCAGCAGTGGAAAAGACACAAACACACGAGTGAAGACCCTGTCGAAAAAAGTAGCTCGAGACCTACAACATGGCTCGGACCAGGGACTCGCGCTCACCATCGCCTGCAGGAAGCCAATACGCGAGACGCCGCAAAGACGATGACAGAAGGGACCGCCGTGATGATGGAGGCAGAGACTATCGTCGCCGCTCGCGGTCCAGGAGCCCTGGCGATGTGAGAAGACACCGTGGAGAACGAGAAGGGGACGACTCTGACAGGTACCAACAGCGACGATACCGAGATCGCGATCGCGATCGCGACTCTCACCGCCGGAGAGATCGCTCCATAGACCGACGAGACGACGATTTGTACCGCGGAGGCCGACGAGACAACGACCGCCACAGAGACAACCGGAGGAGGTCTCGCGACAGATTCGCCGACAGAGACCGATCTCTCGACAGACGGCGGCATCGCGAAGGCGACAGGGACCATCGTCCAAGGCGAGACGACTCCAGGGATCGGGCTCGCGCAAGGCGAGAGGGAACTGCTGACTCCCGTCCGCGTAGCAGGCGCGATGACAGCCGCCCACGCGGCGCGGCGCCTCCAGAGAAAGCCAGTGCTCCTGGTAATGAGGTAAGACTGGCCACCGTATCCTTCCCGACATTGATCGCTAACTCCAAATCACAGGCTGCTAAGCCCAAGCCCGCCCCAGCCCAGACTGAAGCTGACAAAAAGGCCGAACGACTCGCCAGGCTCGAGGCGTGGAAGAAGAGCAGAGAGACCAAGGCCAATAAAGAGAATGAGGTTAATCCAAGTCAGACTAGGAATCTCCTCGCGGAGATGGACAAGAAGTCCGTGGCGTCCCCGGCTCCCGCTTCGCCATCTGTAGCTTCGCCCGCTGTCGCGTCTCCCGCCGTCGCGTCACCAGCGGCATCCCCGGCGCCAACGCTCAATACCTCTGGGAACGCGTCACCAGCTGTGCCTTTCGCGGGCAAATTCGACCCCAAGGCCATTGCGAAGAAGTCGGCAGCTTCGCATAAGAACACCGGTACGAATGGTGTGCTGGGGGCTCTAGAAGGCCGGCCCGAAAAGTCCACGGTAGCTGTTGCACCGATCACAAAAGGTAAGCTACCGCTCCCTTCTCGTACAGATGCTCAAGGAGCAGTTATGAAAGGGACATATACTGACGGTTTGGCAGCTTCGGCGCTTCCCGCCAACCGGAACCTGAGCGCTTTTGGTTTCAGCAAGGCGACTGCCGACAGTGAGAAGCTCGCAAACAAGCGCAAGCTTGATCTCGATGAGGAGGAAGGGACGAAGAGGAAACTCACAAAGCTACCCGCACTTCCCCTCGAGGCTGATGACACCCCCTACGCTGATCAAGATGAAGACGATGAGTCGGACGGTGGCAACTTCGCCGAAACAGAAGAAGAGGCTGCTGCAATCGCCCGTGCTGCGCACGAACGACGCGAGAAAGAGCTGCAAGAGGCACAAGAAGAGTCCAAGCAAGATGTCGACATGCAAGATGCTGCACCAACGCAAAATACCGAGCCAGTCGAAGAACCTCCAGTCGCCGACAAGATGGAGGTCGTGGAAGCCGAAGAGGACGATGTTGATCCCTTGGACGCTTTCATGGCCGATTTATCGGATACCAAAGCCGCGCCGGGTCCTAAGGCAAGTACATCCACGAAGAAGGTCCAAGAGCCCGAGGCGTACTTCAGTGACGATGAATACGCTTTCAAGGCAGACGATGGCCCCAACGCCAATGCAGCTCTCGCCATGGCGGCGAAACGCAAGAAGAAAGACATTCCTACCGTGGATTACAGCAAGATAGACCTGCTTCCTATTCGCAAGGACTTCTGGGTCGAACCAGCAGAGCTCGCCGCTCTTAGCGAGGAAGAAGTTACTGAACTGCGCGCCGAGCTCGATGGCATCAAAGTCTCTGGCAAAAACGTCCCCAAGCCGGTACAGAAATGGGCCCAGTGCGGTCTCAATGAGCGGACATTGGACGTCATCGCCGGCCTTGGTTATGAAAAGCCGACGCCGATTCAGATGCAATCTCTGCCCATCCTCATGTCGGGGCGTGATGTTGTTGCTGTTGCCAGGACTGGATCAGGTAAAACAATGGCCTTCCTCCTTCCCATGTTCCGTCACATCATGGATCAACCACCTATCAGGGACACCGATGGCCCTATTGGTCTCATCATGACGCCGACTCGCGAGCTGGCAGTCCAGATCCATCGCGACTGTAAACCCTTCTTGAAGGCGATGGGTTTGCGGGCTGTGTGTGCTTATGGTGGAGCTCCCATCAGAGATCAAATCGCTGAGCTTAAGCGCGGCGCCGAAATCGTCGTGTGCACTCCTGGCCGCATGATTGACCTGTTGGCCGCCAACCAGGGCCGTGTTACGAATGTTCGTCGTGTCACTTACGCTGTCCTCGACGAGGCTGATCGCATGTTCGACATGGGCTTCGAGCCTCAGGTGATGAAGATCTTCGCCAACATCCGCCCTGACCGACAAACCATTATGTTCTCCGCAACCATGCCTCGCAGCATTGATTCCCTCGCCAAGAAGGTGCTCAAGTCTCCAGTTGAGATCACCGTAGGTGGCCGCAGCATTGTGCCCGCAAACATCACACAGATTGTCGAGGTGATTCCCGAGACTGAAAGGTTCTACCATCTGCTAGGTCTGCTTGGTGAGCTTTACGAAAACGATGAGGACGCCCGTACCTTAATTTTCGTCGAACGTCAGGAGAAGGCCGACGACCTTCTCAAGGAACTCATGACCAAAGGATACCCCTGCATGTCCATCCACGGTGGTAAAGATCAGGTGGATCGTGATTCTACAATTTCCGATTTCAAGAACGGTATTGTGCCCATCCTGGTCGCAACATCCGTTGCAGCTCGAGGTCTGGACGTCAAGCAGCTCAAGTTGGTTGTAAACTACGACCCACCTTCTCACCACGAGGACATGGTGCACAGATCAGGACGAACGGGAAGAGCAGGTAATCTGGGAACTGCAGTGACGTACATCTCTGAAGACCAGGAGAATTGCGCCCCTGGTATAGCAAAGGCTCTCGAGCAGAGCGGTGTTCCTGTCCCTAAGCGCCTGGAAGAGATGCGTAAAGCCTGGATAGAAAAGGTTAAGGCAGGAAAAGCCAAGGACAACTCTGGCTTCGGCGGAAAAGGTCTGGATAGACTCGACGCTGAGCGCGAAGCTGCTCGTCTTCGTGAGCGCAAGACTCACAAGGCTGAGGGCGAAGAAGACGACGTCAAGGAGGAGAAGACCGAGGACAAGGGCAAATCGGCTGTTATCGACATCCAGTCCAAGGTCTCGGCCGTTGTGTCTCGTGCCGCCAACAAGCCTGAAGAGGCCAAGGGCAAAGACGCACCGGCTGCCAGCGGCGCCGGAGGCAAGCCAGGACAGCCTCTCGATATGGTCAGCGCAGCCATCAGGAACATCAACGAGCGACTCGGCAAGGCTGGACAGCTCCGGTCAGGACAGCCCATCGACAACAAGGGCCCTGACGCCGGTGCGTACCACGCTACCCTTGAGATCAACGACTTCCCGCAGAAGGCCAGGTGGGCCGTCACGAACAGAACGAACGTGGCCAAGATTTTGGAAGCGACCGGGGTGTCGATCACGACAAAGGGAACCTTTTATCCTGCTGGCAAGGAAGTCCCGGCCGGAGCGGACCCGAAGTTGTACATTCTCGTCGAGGGCGACACAGAGGTTGTGGTTGGCGCTGCTATGACCGAGCTCACCCGGCTTCTCAGTGAAGGAACCGTTGCGGCGGCTACAGCTGACAGCCGTGCTCCTGCGTCTGGACGTTATAATGTCGTGTAAATTGTCTGGGCCGGGATCTTGTAGTATATCAGATAATGCCATGGCAGCAATAGGGCAGGGGCGCAGAGGAGTCAATAATAACGCTGGTACTGATATCCGTTTTTGGTGTCTTTATGATTTGATCGCATGGAAAATTGAAAGCAACAGCACGAGAGTGAAGCGCAATCTCAGAAGGCGAAATGGAAAAAGTGTAGTAACTTGTGACTTAGATTAGCCTAGACGCCGGCAATGTATAAACTCCAAACCAAGATTCAAATACCAAAACGAAGAGGTATTATCAACAAACATTGCCCACCCAAATCCCATTATCTAAGTTGTCAAGGAAATTCGCTAAACCCGCTTCTCTTTATTCCCGCCTTTATCACGCATCTTGACTTCAGTTGTATGTCCTAGCCTCCGCGGCAGCATCGGCATCACGCTGCCTCAGCTGCTGGGTGCTGGCGTCCTTGAGCAAATCGCTCTGAGTTTGTTTCTTCTGGGCGTTCAATTGCGAGGAGAGCTTCCCGGTTGACTTGTTTGCGGCTTTTGCTCGAGCCTATTGAGGGTCGTAGGTGTTAGTAGGTTGTTCGCGCAATGGGAATAGAAGAGGGGGGGCGCGGGCAGGAGAATCTCACCTCGGCTGCCTCCGCGGCCTTGCGCCGCGCTTCTACCGCATCGGCAGACGACTGCTGGCCCGATGCGCCGCCGCCGCTACCACCACCCAGTACCCGAGGCGGACCGCCGACTCTTGCGGGGATCGGTGCGGTCTTTGGCTGGGGCGGGGGAGCGGTGCCAAGCGGGCGACCCGGGGAGTCGAAGTTGTCCCCCTTCTCCTTGCCGCAGACAGAGCCCATCACGGTTGCTGTGGGAGCTTTCGGATATTTGC